TTCGGCCCAGAAACTTGGTGGCTGTGAGTCCAAAAACAGATCAACATCAATTCGGACATTCTGTGCAGAATGGAAGATAGCACCAGAAAGATGAAACTGCAGGTGTGAAAAAAGGTAGAAGTCCGAAGGAGCAATGTCGTGGCTATATGGTTTGTGTGAAAAAAAAATCTCATTTGAGTCTGTACAGAGTCCAGCCGGTGTATGCAGACACATGTCGTCTTGCATTATCTTGACGGAACATTACCATTTTGCCCCGGAACTCAGTTCGACGTTTTTCCTTGAAAGCAGTGTCAACATGAACTAGCATCTCGCTCTACACTTTACAGTTGAGGGTTTTATCTTTTTCCAGATACTCTTTGTGGATAATACCACAGCAATCCCACCAGATACAAAACATGACCTTTTTGTTGTTCAAATTGTGCTTTGCAACACTGCTGACAGGCTCACTGCCAATCACATGATTATTATACATAAACATATCATAAAAATTCTGAACCATATTTTGGACTTATGATGAAATCTTCAGTTTTACCTTACATTTGATAAAAATTTACACATTTCATTGATAAAATTATGAAATTAAAAATTATACGTAAAATTAAGCGAAAAAGAAAAATTATCAGACTTGTATGGATTCTAAATACAGCTTTCACTAGTTTAAGAACAACTGACATAGGTCCCTATTCTTCAGGCGAAAAAAAGAGGTGGGGGAGGAAAGACTAAGAAAAAATTTTACTGAGGGAAAAAAAGTTTCTCCAAAAGCAAAAAATGATTTTGCTCCTTAAGGCAAATTCTTCCACTGAGAATTTGACTCACCATATTAATTACAAAAATGAATTACTTTTTTTTGAAATAATGAAGCATTTTTTATGTTAACAGAAATCAAAATTTATAAAAAAAGTTCAATATTAAATTGTTTGCTTTATTAAACATTTCTATCAATGTAAGCTGTTTAAGTCTCTCTGTTTTTATGCCGATATGTTCTCTTTAATTTTATAGACAGACATAATTTCTTATTCAATTACAAAATTCCACTGTTGAAATCTTGTAATTGCCGCATTAAGAACTTCTACCACACTGTAATCAGAAACTTTTCATTTTCAAAACACTTTTTCACATTTTACTTCAATAGTGATATTTCCGAGATTTAAAAATCTTATGATAGATTTTGCTGTCCATTAACAGATTGTTGACTGAGACATTGTCATCACAATGAAAAATTTCTATTATATCATCTTCATTTATTACTACATCATATTTTTTCACAAATCCATTAATTAGGATATTTTGCCTTTTGTCTGCAATATTCAAAAACTTTCAAATTTGCAGCTATCACCATCAAGCTTACTAGCATGTGTTATAAACTATTTGCCCTGCATTATGCAATTGATGACTAGAGATGTGTGTTGTTCTACTACATTTTGTCTTGCTTCTATTGTATGCTGAGAAAGTTAAGACTGAAATATATTAGTTATTTATTACACTTATGTCTGTTTTCCACATATGCTAAAGCTTATCTGATTTCTGAAAAGTATACTTCAAGCTTATTTGAACAACAAGTCAATTACTCTTAATTCAAATAGCAATAAATACAATCTTTTGACCTACAAATATCATTTACAAAATCTATTTTTTTCCATAATAAAGGAAATTTCAGTTAAATTTTTTCCTCGTCAACACTCAACACTTTGCAATGCAGTTTGATGAAGTCTGTAATCATGGCCACGCATAAAATAAATCAACATAAAAGGTGCCCTGCTGTTCTGTATTCAATTACTAATAACTAAAGAAATATTTAGACTAGGTGAATAATTTCTCAAGCTGATATGAGTTTGACACTAATGTGGTGATAAAAGAAAAAAAAAGATTCACCAGGTTGACATTAGGGATATATATTCAACAGACCTAAAATCAGTGATGACGGTAGTGTGTTTCAATTTGAGATATATGCAAAAAAAAAAAAAAAAAAAAAAAGGTGTCTAGGGAGCCAAATTATTGATCATACAGATTTATGCTAATAAATGATTGCATTTCTTCAACACAGAGGTGTTTTATTTAGTGCTAAAGTGAAATTAAAAATTCCCCCACATCTTTTATTAGGAAAAAGTATCTGTTGTACAAGTATGAAGCATTCAGCATATGCTAAAGTGAGATGCTACTCTCGGAATCTAATTCTTTCTCCCTTTTTGAAAAAATTGCTGATGGTCTGGAGGTCTGGATATACAATCATTCCATCAGATATTGGATGTCTAGATTTTTGATTTTGTACTATATGAGCTTTTTTCTAACCAAAAGAGAATTTAAAGTTGAATTAAAGTTTTATAGTTTAGTTCAACTTAAAAATTTTTAAATGTATTGATGTATTGATGTTTAATGCCAAATAAATAAGGAAATTTTTCTTCCTCTCTGGCCCCCCCCCAAAAAAAAGAATTTATTTTTATGCTACGTTTGTCCACCACTAAATGATAAGGCTTCATTTCACTTCTGAAATTATATATACAGAGTGTGGTTTTTTTTTTTTTTTCCTTTTCTTTTAACTGACATGGTACTCGGAGACCTCTGTAGCTTGAACTATCAGCCGCAAAGTCACGAAATTTTGTACAGGGACTATTGACGACATGGGAAAAAGTAATCCATGAAAAAAAATTAGTTCCAAAAGTTGCCGATAGGGAAAAATGTGGCACTTTACACTTTAAGACTTACATAAAACACAGGAAAAAATTGCAAAATGCAAAACCATGACTACGCAGATGACACCAGCGTCAATATTTTGAGTTATAAAAAAGAAGCGGGGCATTGAAAATCATTTCAAGTATCAGTTGCTTTATAAAATGTGTCTCACTTTAGCACAGCATGCATTACTAGTGAAGTTGTTTTATCTTAATCAATCCAATGTGGCGGCCGCTCTTCACGAATTTAGAAGGCGAAACAATTTACGTAAAGAAGCTCTATAAATTAATGGACTGAAAGCAACGATTAAAAAATTTGAAAAAACAAGTTCTCTCACTACTTGGCCTGGCAGAGGACAGAAACCAGTACCGGAGGATACGATCGCAGATGTTGCGACTGCAATTATTGAAAGAAATCAGACGAGCACTGCTGGTAATAGCAGCACACATGGAGTAGCCCTACAACTGGATGTTAGTTCTTCAACAGCATGGAAGTTTTAAGTGAAGAAAAATTCTTCACTTTTATCCATATAAAATTAGTCATTTGCATGAATAAAAACCTACTGATTATGATCTTCCATTAACCTTAGCTCTGACTTTCCTTGCCAGGATGGAGGTCGATGAGGCTTAGCCTTGAAATATTTTCTGGAGTGATGAGGCTCAATTTTGTTTCAATCGGACTGTCTACACTCAGAATTCAGGCATCTGAACAACCCCATGCGGTTCAAGAAATCCACTCCATTCCCAAAAAGTAACTGTTTAGTGTGGTTTTAATGCAGATTTTATCATCGGATCATACTTTTCTGAGACTATTACCCAAGCAGGACTGGAAACCTGTTCCGTAAACGCTCAAAGATATCATATGCGGAGTAATTTTGTTATTCTACAACTTCAGCAAAGGCAATGCTTAAATAAAATTGTACCACATATTTTGTACATCCATACAGCAACTGTTGCCCCATCACTTTACTGAAGAAAGAGTCCTTAGTCGCTGTTTTCGTGTTGCATGGCCACCTCGCTCTCCGGATCTAACAACATGTGACTTTTTCCTGTGGGGTTATTTAAAATCAAAGGTTTATCTAGGTGGAGTTTCTAATTTATCAGTTTTAAAGGAAAACATAACACTGTTATGAACATACCTCCTGAAATGTTCCATTCAGCTGTAGAGAGTACAGTGAACAGAATGCAATGCTAAGTCGAAAATGGAGGTCATATCGAAAATATATAATCTGTCAAATACACTCCGTCTAAATAAATTGATGCTTGTGCTTCACTTCAAATCAGTCAACAGAATAAAAAAACTGCAAGAAAATATTAGCTGCTCTGTATGTAAATGTAGAAGGCAGTGCTCATATTTCATAATCATGTGTTAGTTGATTTGAATGAAGGTTTATACTGCAACAAATTTATGTTATATTACGATGAAAACAAGAATCACAAATACAATTAGGCTGAATACGAGCCTGCAAGTGAGGCCCTAGGGAAAAATGAAAGCAGGAGCAAAATTAAAATAAAATGCTTGAATATTAATGTCAAAATGATAAAGAAGAGGGATGCACAATTTTGAGATTTGATCCACATATTAAATAGTATAGCTCCAATCACAAGAATTCTACATGTCCAGTTTGTAATTTATCAAAAAATAGCATATGACAAGATATGTATATTCTAGCACAAGACAGTCATATAACTCGCAAATTACTTAAAAAGACACTTACATATAATAAATAACTATATCCACTTTACTCAAATGTATATAATTATACATTATTTTTACCTTAGTTAAGAGATTAATATTCTATTTTTGACTAAATTAATACACAGTGAACTGCATATGAATTTTTAAAACTAAAATTATAACAATTGAAGCCAATACATACCTAAATGCTCATGAAATTCAAGTTTAAGATTGCACACATGCTGATAATCAAAATTAAATTAGTTAGCTTTCTTTTAATTTTAATTTGTTTAATTAATAATTAACCCAAACTAAAAGGATTCATCCCACATTTTTACTAATCAGAATCATCATGTTTACAGAAAATTAAACAAAAAACCTCTTCTTCCCCAAATAAGATTTCCTGGCAGTTCCCTTCCCAGTCTTACTTTTCTAAATGTATGTATTACTTCTTAAATTACTAATACATTTCTTGAATACATGTAGCATGCTTCTTCGTCAAAAATAATAATAATAAATAAATAAAAAATAAAACCTTCTTCCTCAAAGGTTTTTCTTTTTCTTTCTTTCTTTCTTTCTTTTTTTTTTTTTTAATTTCAAAATACTATTCTGTTAAAAGAAAGAACTTGAACATAATAATAATAAACTATGGATCAGCACTTAAAGTGATAACTTTAATAGATACAATATTTGCTTTACATACTTTTATCAAATGAAGATCATATTCATTACTATCACAGACAAATATGCATTTGTTAGATTTTTTTAAGGATAACAATAAAAACTTCTTTACTTTGAGAAGAGTCTTTAAAATAAAATGAAAAAAAAAAAAAAAAAAAAAGATTATAAATAGATAGAGTGTGTTAGACAAATAACAGCAAAACAAGTTCTGCAACTTTGCAACATGCAAATCAGATCTTTAACAAACTACTAGTGCTGTAGTTTCCGTCGCATTTAAGAAGGTCATGTGTATATAATATATATAAATATTTTTTTTTAAATTCAATAAATAATTCTTTCCTGTGATCTAAAATATGTATAAAGTTATTGCTAAATAAAAGTAAATATACAGACTTATAATTAAAAGCACCAATTGTTACTAAAACATAGTCATATTTCCTTTTAAATATATCTAAAACAGTCTTAAAATTTTATAACATATGAAGCCTCTCTGTTTTAAGCATATACCACAAGTGGTAAATGATAAAATTCTTCGCATGTACAAAAAAATCTCTGCACATTGGCTTCAGCATATCAGATACAAAATGTAATGCACAGTTAACAGCATCAATGACTTGAGGCAGAGCTAGAAGAAGGTAATGGAATTTGCCACACAATAAGGTGGCTTTGTTCCGACCTCAACGAATTCCTGGACGAACGATCACTCATATCTGTACCATCACTATCATCATCTTCATCACCTATACAGATTGAAAGGAAAAGAGAATTTGGAATCATTATTAATTAATTAAACATCCAAAATATGTGATGTATATGAACACATGCAAGTGTCTGAGGATAACACATACAGGATTTATTTCTTTGCAACAATAATATCAGATTAGTACTTCTAATTACAAAGTTTCTATATATATATATATATATATATATATATATATATATATATATATATATATATATAAAACAGAATCTCATCAGTAAAAGAGGCAATTTTTTTTTTATACAAAAGTGAAAACACTTTTAGCAATCAGGATGAAATTCTATAAAAAATATATATAAATCTGACATGGTCATAAAGCAAAATTCCCAATTTAAAAAAATATGCATTATGTTTTCAAAAGTAGAACACAAATAGTTCTATACTGTTACGCATAAAATTCACAAAAAACCTTTACTTAATATCTTCATGTGTCCAAAAGGGTAAGATTACGGAATTTTAGTAATATGATCTGTGTTTGAATCCCAGGAAAAATACAAGCTGCATGAAGGTTTTTGTGGTTCTCCAAATATGTAACATAAATACAGAAAACAGAACAAAGACTTCTCTTCCCTCAGGCAGATTATCTGATATATTTTGCAGTGTTTGATTAAACGAACACACGATTAACCACAAATTTAATAACAAATACTATTTTACTCAATACAGAAAAATTAATTATTAAAACCAGTCTACTTTTTCCCCTATTGTTGCTTAAATTAAGTGAAAAAATCATTAATTTCCCTTGCATTAAAAATGGCTTAAGTGAGTAAATTCATTCTCAAATATCTCTGAATTGCAGATAAAAGTATAGAGCACTTTGATTTTAACTTACCAAAGGATTATAAATGTTTTATTAAATGGGATATTTGCCCAGAATGGATACAATGACAAAAAATTTCGCCATGACACATTTCAAATATAATCAAAATATATAAATTTATAAATGTGACTCTAAATTCGAAACCAATTACAGTAATGTTTCTAAAACTAATTATTCAAATTGTTATCTAATTTCTAAAACTGTTAATTTATTGATACAATAATCTAATTTTCTAGGTTTACTTAAAGAAAAAGTAAGCCATTTAAGTTTCATAAACATAATCAATTTAATACAAATGTATTCATTAAATACATTCATTTTACCCTTTTAGCACTGAGAATCCAACATACATTTAAAAATACATCACTATAATCTAACTACGGCAAATTAATGGCTGTCTTGTTAAAGTCTAACATACTAAAAGTTCACTAAGGCATTTTGGAAAAATTCTTCACCACAGTTTGCAATTCCTTAAATGTCTTTCTGCATAATAATTAAGTATGAAAGCAAATTTGTTCATCTCAGCAGCACGTGCTTTATTCAAACACATCGGAAGCCTACAGTACAAACATAACATAAAACAACTCACAAGCTGAAAGAATGGATTTACAATATTTTTTAATGGCAGAAACTTTAAATGAAATTTTCAATAAATTTAGTCATTTACATTTCCCTGTTATGTTGTTATGCAAAATTATATGGTCACTGATATAAGCAAATTAAAAAATAAATATATAAGGTCATTACTAATTTTTAATTGATGATTAAAAACTTGGTTTTAGAAAAAAGTTTTCAATGCATTTCTCCTATTTTCATAAAAATTTCCATTTTTAAAAAATGTGGGGATTTTTTCCTCCCATATTGGAAAAATCAAAGCATTAGGTAGTATTCAGTTGTACCATTAAAAACACCTTTAAAATTTTACCAGTTGTACCATTAAAACTATACAGCGTTGTACAGGAGATACAAATATACAAGCATCTTTACATTATTCATTCTCACGAATCTTTTTAGTTGCATAAAATGCAGCAATGTACCAAAAAAAAAAAAAGTCTACTTTTCATAATACAAACTGTGAAATGAAATACATAGGGCTGCCTTTGTAATCCAAAGAGCTTGGGAATAGAAATAAGAATGAAAAATGTTTTCATACAAACAAATGTTGAGTACATATTAATGATATTTCTACACAACATTCCAACTTAAACATTTTTCACTATCCATCACCAGTTCCCCCATACTTTTGTTGTATACACTTGCTTTCTAATGACTCAAACAACAAATCAACTTATTTGAAGGAAATTATCAGCTACTAGAAACTTTTTCTGCCAATATTTCTTTCTGTGGGCTTTCATTTGTCCTTTTAGAAATTTCAAATACAATTTACACAGAGGATTACCATCCATACAGTTTATTTCTGCATATATATTATATATTCTGAGATAAATTTAAACTGCGTTTTGACTAATAACACAATAATTCTTATGACCAGTCTCTTTCTATTAGACAGTCTTAAGCATATGGTATATAAACGAATATGTGTGGAAAGAAGAATAACTAAGGCAAAAAATATTGCAGTATTACTTTTATATATAATGTATCTTAAAACTGAAAAGAAGTGACACCAAGATCTAACATTTGAGTATTGTTTAATTTGAAGAATCTGGCAACTTCTAGCAAAAAGAAAAAGTGGAAGCTGGCCACTGTTATTTTGTGTGTTTTGGTTGTGCTATTCTAAAGAGGTTATACGAATTATGCAAAATGTTTCTTAAGGTGCAGATGGCAAGAGTGTCCATCTGAGTGAAATATGCATAGGTTCTCATTTGTGCATGTAATTTCTGTTAACAGAAGTAACATTAAAGAAGTAACAGTTTGCTACATTTAGATGAGAATCTCTCAGAAATGAGGTTATGCTGATTATGCACTATGTTTTTTATAGTGTGGATGAAACAGGGGTGTCCATCCGAATTAAATATGTATAGGTTCTCAATTTTGCATGTAATTTCTGTTAAAAGAAAGAAAATTATTAAAGATGATAAAGTCTGCAACATTTGTATGTGAATCTCATAAATTCTGTTTATGACTGTGACTTAATTCAATGTTCAAACAATGTAAATATATAGGTAGTAACCTTCTCTCATCTTATGTCCAATTCAACTGGACAAATAGTAACAGCTAAGCATAACTGCAGACCATAACAGGATTAAAATATTGTTCCTTGAAGTTATATTTTATTCCTAAGTTATTCACTTTTTAATCAAATAATAACCATTGTTTTAGACTTAATAAACACATTCATGAAATAAACGTAAAAAATAAGCTTAAGGTTAGGGAAAAATACTATATTGAATTTATAATTAAAATGAGAATATATATATATTCATGTAGAAAACATATTTTCTTACCAATGCGAAAATCTATATAACCTTCGGCACCTGACATTATATACATATATTTGGGCTTGACTGGTTTTTCAGTAGTGTCAAAATCCTCTTTATCATCAGATAATGAAGTGACTGAATTCATATCACCTTGGCCTACAAAAGAAAAAATGATGATAAAAATTCCATGCAATATATAAATTACATCCAAAATTATTAATTCTATTTATTCCATGAAATTTGGGCAAAAATAATTGTTCAATAAAAGATTAAAAGTATGGTTCGTTAGATTTAATTATACAGAAAAAGAAGCAAAATTTTTTAGTGAAATATATTTTTATTCAATACATCATTGAGGTTTCATGCAAAAACAGTTCACAATTTGTTCTCAGTCACACCAATATTTTCATTTCCATAAATATAACATTATTTTTTAATATGTTATAAAATTTTTACTTACATTATAAATAAATGTTTATACCATGCACTAATTTTTGAAAAAACCCATAACAACAAATCAGTTCATACAAGATATTCGATGTAAAAAAGTGCAAAATATAAATAACCTATACTAATATGAATTGTAATAAAATTTACAAAAACAAATGAAAAATAACTGTAGGTAAACTAGTATCACACTATATAAGCTAAACTAATACCACACACTTTAGTTTGTAAATAAGTTTACAAATCCTATACATCATAATATAGATGCATCTATCTTAAACTAAGACCTATTTAAAGTTGTCAATCAATTAAAAATCTTAATTCTAGTAGGGACACTATAATCATTGTAGCAGCATAAAATAAGCCTGAGTATCAACACCTATTCCTACAGAAAACTTGCATTATATATATTTCAATCAATTTTTTAAAACATTGCTAGCTCAATCAAAGATTTTAAGAAATTTATGTTCAAATTTAAACTGCAAAATCTACACAATAGAGGGAAGACTTAGATGACATTTTAAAAATTGTTTTATTTGTAGCGTATTTGATATTACTTTTAGCAAAAAAAAAAAAAAAAAAAAAAAAAAAAAAAAAAAAAAAGATGACATTTTAAAAATTGTTTTATTTGTAGCGCATTTGATATTACTTTTAGCAAAAAAAAAAAAAAAAAAAAAAGCATATTGATGCAAAAATTATAGACTATTAACTAAAAGTAACACTTGCTTAAAAATCTTGCATGCTATTCATATCAATTTCTGCATAATGTTATATAAATAGTCAACTAATCAGAAATTTTTAGTTTTAATCAAAATCATTTCAAAAAGGAGAGATTGTATTTTACAGGGGAAAAAAGATTAATGAATAAAAACAAATAGTTTACAAAAGATTTCATATTTACTCATGATGAAAGAAATAAAATAAAAACAAATTGCTTACAAACTATTTCATATTAACTCATGATATTTTTTAAAGCTAGGTTATTAACCCTCTGAGTGGCATGGCTACTTTTATCAAATCATGAGATTTGCTACTACTTAGAATATATTACTTTGTTATTTAAAGCATTTCGTTTTATTTCTTTTACTTATTTTAATATTAGCTGTTTTTTACCTTAAGCCAGCTCGTATAAAAACAACCGAAATAAAGGAAGGTAATAATTCAAATTGATTAACTTATAATGAAACACTAGCCAACTCTTTAACCAAAAAACAGCAGTCACTTTGAAAAATTTTAATTGCATTTACTCAATTACTCATAAAAAATGTAGTTTAGTTTATACAAGCCAAACTAAAAGCAATCTAAATCTTAGAATTAACAGCCATAGATCACATATTAAAAAGCTTTCTCTCAAATTCTCCTAATTTAAAAAGAGATACAAAAGTAATAGAGCATTTTCATTTACACAATTTCAATGACACTGCAATTAATATCCTAGATATTATTCCTGATAAAAAAAAACACGCTTTCTAGCGAATCACTTCATATTTTAAAAGACAAGACTCTTTACCCGTATGGCCTTTATTCTTACATTAACAATTCTTATTCCAAATTTAATGCTACAGTTTATGAACAATTTGGTATTTTCATCATTAAAACTATTAGAGAAACTAGAGAAGGAAATAAAGCAAGGACAGGTCTCAAGTTGATATAATTTGACAAATTACAAAAAATACTTTTAAGGCTAAGCTAACAAAATGAGATTGATAAAATTCAAAAATTGTTTAAAAATCATCAAGAATTAATTCCACAACTGTATTTCATAAGCACACACATCAAGAAAAGGCAATCATAAAAACACACAAATACTTAAGATGTAGGAAGTGTCATGATAACACTAATTGAAACAAAAATTATTCTGTCACTCTATGCAAAAACATATAAGGATTTAAGCATACAAAGCTCATCATTTCTTTGTCTCTCATTTTACAAAATCTAACAATGGTAGGTCTTATTTTTATTTCTTTTCCTGATTTACTACCTGCTATATGCCTACTTCTTGACATTTTTTTTGGGGGGGGGAGATTGTATTTTAGGTTACATTTGTGCTTACTGATAGTACAATTCAATATTTACTTCACTATATTTATCAAGGAATTCAAAAATCTAGCTAGATCTCAGAGTTTTTACTCAGAGCACTACTAAATTTTTTATGATGAAATATGCAGCTGAAGATTTTATTATAACTTCTTTTAATTTATAAACACCACAGCAACAGCGGTTAAGTTCTTTTTTCTCTTAAAATATAAACAAAGTAAATATTAAAATACATCACTATGCTCTGGTAAATTAACATTTTAAAACACTAATACATATCTTGCATTAAAAAAACAGCACTATAGCAATTGCATTATATTTGATATCATGATGCATGAATAAATATGACCAAACTGTGTTAGAATTTATTCTAATTAAATTTTTCTTTTGCTTATTAGTGTTAGTTTGCCAAATGAAAATTCAATAATATTTCACCAGACCTTTGGAGAAATAGGTACTTTGTAAGGCTTTGCTTTCCATCATACCTGGAACAGCTACAAAGAATTTCACTGCGTCTTTATGACCATGGAATGAAAGCTGTGCTTCAGACATTGAACAATATGGTACAAAACTACCAGGAGTAAGGTTGTCTTTGCCATCAGCATATACCCGTATTGCATCTCCTGACAACTGAGGATCATCCTGGGACCATCGTTTTGCACCAGCTAAAAAAACATATTACAACAACATTTTAAAAATTTGAAGTATATATTTAAAATTTCTAGCATAAAAAATGTTTAACATTTTAGATATAAATTTTATTCAGAATAATTAAAGTCAAATTATAAATTAAATATTTTTATTAATGATACTACCTATACAAATAGAAGAATGAAAATTTAAGCATATTAATTGTGACCATTTAAACTATAAAACACAGTTCCTATTTATTATTTACTATTTATTATTCCTTATTTACAAAATTAACTTAAAAACAAGTTTTCATAACCTACCTATTAAACTTTTAAAAGAAATACCTGAACACATTTTTATACTTTTGTTTAGTATCAGATTTACAATATATTTCTTGAATTTACAGATCACTTATTTGAAACACAAAATTATTTTCTTTTACTGGTGAATGTTAAACTTTCTCAATTTCTTCATGGATTATTCAGTCTTTAAATATTTTCATAGTTCTCACTGATTTTTTTTTTTTTTTTTTCATTTCTCTTTTAAACCACTTTTTTTAAATAATCTTTATGCACGTATTAAATGCCAATATGAAGCATTTTTGTCTGTTCCTAAAATGAACATTCCTTTTACAATGTTCACTTAATACTACTAGTAGTTTAATAAATACCAAGAAAATTCTGGCAGCAAACTAAGTACATTAGTTGGCGATAAGGGTTCCACAGATTTTGATTTTTATATTTTAATAATGCAATCTTTTCGAAAATCATTATTCCAATTCATGATGATTTTTATCTACCACATCTAGATCTTGGTAAAAGTTAGCAACTTTACTTCTTGAATAATATATTATGCACAGCTATTTGAAATGTGCTATGGTTGCTTTCAAACAAATTTTCTGTTTTAACTCTTTCATATGTCTGCACTTTTCAGCACTGCTCATGCACAATATCTTATATTTAGTGATTCATAATTTTAACATATGGGAATAAAAATTATCTTCATTATTTGACAGTATTCCATGATTCTAAAAAAGGTGGATAGCTTCCACCTTGTTATTTGCAAAGCCTAGAAATCCAATAATAAAACAAGAAATGCTGAACATATAAAAGATAAATTATAAAAACTTAACATGTGCTTATGAAAAGAACATAGTTACAACAGGAATAGTTAATTAGTTAACTGATTAAGACAATGCATATGCAGATAATCTGCTTAAGGGAGGAGTGCTTTTGCACTTCCTAGAGGATATTGGTTCATATTTATGATACACATGGGAAAAACACCACAAAAACATCTTTACAGACAGCCCATTTAAACTCAGCTCAAAGTAAAAGTGTTCAGTTGATCTTCCCACTAGGCAACTAGGAAGCATGGTTATTACAGAAGGCAAGACATTTATAAGTAAGTTATTACCAAACACAGGATCAATTAAAATTGACAACAGTAGTTAATATCTAAATAAAAATACTTATTAGCAAATTATTACAACACATCAGCATGAGCTAAAATCTCCAACAGTACTTAATATATAAATACCATATCACTTTTGAAACTCTCACACAAAAATCTGATGCTGTCAATGACAAAAATATTATTGCAAAATGCCCAGCTACCCGGCAAAGGCATTTAGGTTGCCAGAAATTGGTTTGCTTGTTTATTGAGAATACGGCAAAGCACACTAGGGCTATCTGCCTAAGGGAAGGGATGCCTTCATAGAGGACTTTCTAAGGGAAACTGGCTCATATACACGTTACACATGGGGGAAACCAAGAAAACACCCATGCAGCCAACCCGTTTGCAGGATTTGAACCTCGGACCGAACTATCAGTGTTCATGGACTTTACTGCTCGGCCGTTGGTGGGCTCGCCAGAAATTGGCACGGTTGCCAGATTTGGCACGCAATCATCCATCTGGTGACAAAATTGTCAATATAACATAGATGGAGCATTCTAGAATAATTTCTTACCATTTTTCCTGAGAATGTTCCCGAAGGCAGGTCAAAAGCTATATATACCCTGCCTGCATGCAAAGTAGAGTAGTATGTTAAGTCCAGAGATTAGCTTGAGAGCAATCGACTGAGTCAAGAGCTGCCATTAAGCTATCTTCACCATTATAGCCTGAATGCTGTGTTGCTGACTGATTCGGCACTTTTGTCATAATTTTTCGATGACTTTGGAACTGTCTTGTGTAATACTGGTGAATAAACTGTGTTCTGATTCTTCATCAAATATTATTATTCCAAATCCATGAACCCATGAAACGCCCCACTCAGACCACAAATTTTAGTAAAATGGGTATGCTTAACACAATCAACAACACAAAAAGCTGATGTTGTCAATGATAAAAATATCTACTTTTGAGATTTAAAATTATTTAAAAATTTTACCACAAAATACAACTTAACCTAAAGATGCCATACTGAATCAATTTGCAAGAAGCCCATTTTTACACCTTACAAAAGCAATCTACAAATTATAGCAAATATATCAGGTTTGCAAATTCTAATATGTTTATGCGATTTTCTGGCAGATTATGCCTAATCATTCATTGTGATTTATGTAGTTGCTTCCTTTAACTAATCAAGTTATAAAAACATAATGGTAGAAAAGGAAAAAACAAAACATGTTTTTCATGTTTAATCCTAAAAGAATAAATGCAATCAATTAGCAAATTGGAGAATGCACAGTTCGAATCTATAAATTTATATTGAGACATATGAAAAACATTACTTAATATGCTTTACAATATTGATACAACAGAGAAACTTACGTTCATGAAGTGGAACAGAAAGTATTACTCCATTGCCGGTGCCTATCCAGAGACGGCAGCAGGATACAGCCAGAGCTGTTATCCGAACAAATGAGAAACCTAGTTTACCTGTACCTATATATATAAAAGCAAGAAAAACAATTATTAAATCTAATTAAATGAATACAATAATACCACTCAGCTACAATAAGACACTCACTTCCCTGGCAAGTGCTGCTTTACACCAATACACATATATATCTATGTTTTCAAATGTAATATCTACAGATTCTAAATGTTCTTACAATATTCACTTATCTCATTCAATACTATTTCTATAAATCCATAAAATGTAATTTCTTTCAAGATATATGCATACTTCAAAAATTTCAATTTAAATAATTATATGCAATATAAAATAAGTCACTGATATCTTGCCTATAATTCCATAATGTAATAACATTAAAGTTAGGATTAAGAAAATTTGATGCTACAAAAAAATGGAAATAAGAATTGTACCTAAAATTTTTGAAATATATGGCTCAATATCAACATCTTGAAGATGCTGATATGTATGTGCATGGTATAATCTCAGTGTGCTGTCAAGTCTGATAGATAACCAAACACCATCTCCAATCCAAGCCAATTGCCGTACCTGACTCTCTTTCCTTGGGTGAGCATCAAAAGATTTCTACAAAAAAATAAATAAATAAATAAATCTGAAAGGTTTCAGATTTTAAATTACGTCCAAAGGGGCTTTTTTTTTAACATTTTGTGTGTTACCATTACTTATTAAAGATCATGTTCTTTGCACTTAAACCATAAAATTCAGTTCAATAAGAATGTCGCAAAATAATTTTAAAATGAGCACATCTTTAGAATTTCTGATACACAGTTCCGTGAGGTGGAGGTAAAAAGGTCCCCCCCCCCGTAGAGTGTTGCCATTGCTCGCTTTTAAATCATTGTGTTTGTTACTCAAAAATTCGTTTAAGTTTTACAAAATATTAAATCAATAATAAAACAAATCCCAGATTTCAAATCTGATTTTCCACATGCCCGTATTCGTAGGAGGATTACATCATTCAAAATTTAATGGCTCTACGTACCGCTGTTTTATCACAATGCGTGAAATATACATACTTTTATGCAGATTTTTCATTATTTAATTTCTTCAAATATAGTGCAGGACTGTAATATTTGGTGGCAACAGTTTGAAAAGTGATTTGCCGTTTATAGTGATTCAATGCAAAATCGCTATTATTATTTTTCAAATCCATGAACCAGTGAAACACAATATCTAGTTTTGAGATTTAAAATTATTTTTAAACTCTACCACAAAATGCAATTTAACCTAAAGATGCCAGGCTGAATCAATCTGCATAAAGCATAGTTACACAATTTACAAAACATAACACCCTCACTCAGACCACAAATATTAGGCAAATGGGTATGCTGAACACAATCAACCGTCAATGATAAAATACCTACTTTTAAACACTTGCACTACAACTAAACTTCACGGTTGCGGTGCAGTGCGCTACAATATAACAAGCGATAAAGTGTCTCATTTACACTGCTCCGTGTCTGCGAGTGCAATCCAGAGCTGTAACTCAAGAAATAAACAATCTCGTTGTTAGGTGACATGTGCACCACGTTATTTTCATTTTTGCGATAAATGCCTATCGATGAGGTGTTCACGTCGCTAGTGGTTTGACACAAAAGCATCTCGATGTGCGTGGCACGTCTTTTTAGCACAAGTGGTTAAAAATAATAGTCCTTCAGGGACAAAGCCCCTTTAGACTAATAAAATATATAATACATTAATATTTAGAAATTCTTATTTTCTAAAATGATGATAAAATGCAGACAACTAAAACAACTGAACACGAAAGAACACACACATTAAAATGAGATATAAAGAAAAATAATCTAAATTCGTAAAAAGATGAAGTAAAAGTGATTTTTGAAACTAACATAAATATTTATATGCATATGAATTGGTATATGCTTCAATAATATTTTTAGAACTTTATATATATATACATATTTAATATATATATGGATCATTAGAAAGGTTCTGCAAATTTTTTATGGTAAATACAAATAAAGCAGTACACAATCATAAGAAACTTCCACTGAATCACATAAGCCCCATTTTTTTCCAGAACTTTTTGCCATCTCTTAGGACAGCTGAAAAATTCCATTTTTAAAAGATTCATTGGGTTTATTTATAAAGTTATCATTGTACTGTTTAAAAGTCTCCAAAAAAGTGAAATCCAAGCCATTCAGAGAATTCTGAAGTGATCTGGAAATGAAAATCCACAAAGACAAGGTCTACTGAGTATTGAGAAGGGGAATGATACAAAATGTCTCATCCATACTCAACAAGTTTTTGTTTTACATTCACCAAAATGCTCGGCCAAACACTCTCATGATGGAAGACAAAACCTCTAAGATTTGTCAATTCTGGGTGCTTTACTTTGACTTTGGGTTTCAAAACTGCCATTTGGGAATAATACTGAATTTATTGACTGATTTGGGGCTTCCTGTATGATGGGACTGCAAAGGAACTGTATACAATCCATACTATGAAATTCCTTTGTAATCCCACCATACACAAAGCATGACTTTTTTGGGATACAGCCCACATCTTGAAGCTACTAAAGGAAGTTCATTTGGATTACCCCATGACTTTTTTCCTGAACATTATTGTATAGTATCCATTTTTTATTTCCAGTAATGACTTGTTTCAAAAAAAGAAACTTCTTTATTTTCCCCCCAGCAAAGAATCACATGCCAAAACTCAAGCAAGCACATTCTTGTCTGTTAAAGTATGAGGTACTCATACATCATAGCAGCTTGCCTACCCAATCTTCTTTAAATTGCACGTGTGTACAAATAACATTGTACTGTACATTTTTGAATAAATATTCTGTCTGATAGTTTCTGCACTATAAAACTTGGATTTTCAATTATTAGCTACTTTTTATAGTGGACGGTTCCCAACAAAAATCATCATCTAAATTTCCACATTTCTCAAACCACCTTCAAAATGTGTAATCCAAAACAGCACTTTTTCCATATAAAGCACAAATTTTACAAGCACTCTGATAAGCATTCTTTTTCCCCTTTTTAAAAATAAAAGGATATACTATATGATGAATGTTAACTTTTGAGTTCTCGATTCTCAGCACTGAATTGAAACATAAATTACATCATAATGCATGTTAGAATTATGCATCATGAGCAGAAAAAGACTGTAGAGAAACACTCACTCGATCAAGGTAACTCTGTACAGAAGTAACAAACTAATTAGGAAAAACAAAAAACACTTTGATTTAAAAAAACACAGAACTTGGAATTATATCAATATATACTGAACACATGTGCATGCATGCATACCTACATACATTCATATTAAACATGACCTATTCCAAATGTTAGATTCAAAATGCCTACCCATATAACAAGTCGTTCTGTTTCTAGGTCTGCCACTAGTTCTACTGAAGCTTTCCATTTCAGCTGCAGCTTTATGTTTACAAGTAATGGATAACACCCCGCCAACTTACAAACTACATGAAAATCTCATTGTGGGGGCATCAATGCGCCCCATTTTGGTTAGAATTAGAAGCAGAAAATATTGTTTTTCGCACCTCTCCAAAACCCATGTTTTAAAAGAAGTACATTGATAATATCTCTGTCCTACAGATACATTTAGAAAACAAACTCAAAACACTATTTTCATTTACCTCGGAAAACTTCCCTCACCTGCAGTTTATTAATAACAGATAAGTTATTCAATATATATTTCAGTCCTCTGAACAATATTCAATTTCTTGATCCCATAAGCTTGATGACATTCTGCAGACTACCATACACAAACTGTCAGTTCTAAAATAATTCTATACGATCCTTTTTAATTTCATCCTCATAAAACAGCTGCTTTTTATTTTGACTTAAGATCAGCTAAAGAATTTTGAAACTTTATGAACCTGAATTTTATAAAAATGAATATAAATTTATTTTTTAGAACAGCAACAAATAATAAATACTCTTGTAATTTTGTTAAAAAATTTATAAAATCAACTGACAAACTTCTGCTGCTATTTCAACTAGATACAAGTCCTAGTCCAATCCATCTGGAAATTGCTAAATACAGATAAATCGCATATGAGCACAATAGGTATATTAGAAGTGTATAATTCCCCACCAATGATCAGGATTCAAACACAATAACTCAATATATGGGTTTGATAATTAAAAAGTCCCCAATAAGAATTGCCATGCATAAGAAAGATATTTTCAAACTCTCCGCTAACCAGTAAATCAACGAAAAAAGTACACTGACTATATACTTTTTGTAGCATTCAAGCTCAATAACTGGTGCAGAGTCAAAACCATCCACAAATCCTACTACAAAGGTAGCCTTAAAGTCAGCTAAGCACTAAAAGTCACCACTAGAGAATATGTTACAATAAAGACCTACCTTTCGATATGTCCACACATTTGGATGTCGATCCTCCCATGAAATACACCAATCATGAAGAAAGAATCAACACCAAGAGAGAAGGAATTTGATCAAACCATTCATTCCAATTCCAACTGACAAAGCAGGTGGGTTGTCTACGAAAATTTCCTATTTTACTAATATTTGATTTTTCATGTATTGGTGCACCATCCTGTATTAGCCATTTAAAACACTGGGTACTTTGCAAAATACTGCACTTCTTCCTTTAATACTACTCCTATGACTTTTGATCTTTCTGTATTTATTATACATACTGCATATAAATAAAATCCAAATATTCTATTGAAAATCACCTTTTACTACTTTAATTTTTAGTTCTCAACAGAAATAACCTTCCTATAATTCCTTTTACTTCATGAGAAAGAAATAATAAAATTTTAAAAGTGTCATTAGTATTTCAGTCCTTATACCAAGAAATGACTTGCAATCACATAATTATAACACACAGCAATTTCACAGAATTGTATTCATGATTTGAAAATACAAATACTTCATATTCATTCTCAGATGATAATACAACATCCATTTATTACTTAAGGTAAATTACCTTTTAGATGGCCTAATATTTGTTGTTGTTGTTGCTTATGCTTACCTAACTCACGTAGTCAGCCCAAAACCACGAAATTCCTCGTGACAAGGAGTGGAAGATTATGTCTGTCGCTAAAAACAGCCTTGAGTACTTAACAGGTGACAGTGCAATTTGGCTCAGTTCTGCCCCCAATTTTGATGGACAGCACCCGGGGGGGAGGTGAGGGTACAGGTCCGATGGTCTCCCACCCCTTTTACCAAACCACACGAGAGGTTTCTTGGTTTGCCCCACATTTAGAATGCCGTCATGCCGCACCAACACTATAAATTTACAAACATGCATGCTTTCTCCGAGATCCGACCCCTTGCCCTTTGGCACAGTCAGCGATGCTGACCACTATATCGGTTGGGCAGCGGCCTAACAAATAAAACCTTTAGGTAATGACAGAAATTGAAATCTATCAAAAAATAAATAACTCAGATGCAAATATAACACTTAATAATCTTTGAATGACTTTCCTAATATTAATTCTTCATCTACAATCAGAAAAAAATTACACCTACATTTACTTTTTCAAAATATTTAATACTGTGCATTTATTAACCAGAAATAGCAAACAAGATTATGTAACAGAAAAAAGAATGAGATTTAGCTGAAAATACACTAAAATTGTAACTCACAGTTTGTCTTAAAAACAAATGTTTAAACAAATAATATTTATTTCTGAAAATTAACATAAATACAATTGCATAAAATTGACTTTAAACTTTCACTAGATATTCCATACATTACATTTAAAATATGAAACAAATGAGTTATCAATTTATTACCTCTATAGATAATGTCTTTGGACACAAAACATGAATAGTATTTCGATAGCCACACCAAACTTTATTATGAACAACAACCATGCAACGAATTGAATAATGTGGATATCCCAGATCTAACAGATGGTAGTTATTAAGTTCCCACTGGTTATCTATAAAGAAAAATGCATTTTTAGAATCATCAGCAGAGAATATGAAAATTCCCTTCAAAATATGAATTCTCTTAAATACACGCACCTTCTCCTCGATGAAATATAGCAACAGTACCATTTGCCATTGCTGCAACAACTCTACCCCTTAAATGCCTACAAAAAAAAAAAAAAAAAAAAAAAAAAAAAAAAAAAAAAAGATTAATATTATGCAAATATATAATAACATATAAATATATAATAAGATATAAATTTAATGCTTAACAAATAATCCAATATTACATTAAATTAATGAACATCCAATATCATCAGTTTAAGAAAAAGAATATCACTTAAATAAAGCAAAAGAAAAAATAATTATGAGATACATTCTTATAAATTATTTCATAGTAGTTTCATAGTAGACAAAATAAGCTTTAACCTTTTTAAGACTGGATGGCCATTATAGTGACCATAGAGTCCTCTCTTTGAAAAGACAGGGTTGTCCACTTTAGTGGCCATGTCTTTTTCCCCCATTTTCCGGGCTGAAAAGTGGGGTGAAATGTCAAATTTGACGTCCCTGGGGTTTTAATCTAAATAACCAATTATCTCTTTCAAAGGCCTTCCTTTTGCGACATAGATGCCCCCTTCTGAGAATCCATTAAACTACACACAAGAATCTTTGTTGCAAATAGGAGGTGATTTATTTCTTACAGGGGGGAAAGCATTCGGTTCAAGATTCCCCGTCCTTTGGTAGCTTTTACTGCTACCAAAGCCCCGGCCTCAAAAGGTTAAGAGAGAAATTTTTACACTGAATGTAAACTGTCACTTAAAAATGCACTATACATGTGAACACAAATTGAAGAGAGAATGCTTGCATTTGTTTGTAGGTAACTGAAAGGTTTCTGATGTTAAGAGATTGCATGATAAGTATTTTTACGCAAATTATTATATCCATCAACATTTTTTTTTCCCCAAAAAGAATATCTTATTCACAGAATCTTAAAGAATTCATGCATGATTCAATCTGTGGAATTTGACAATGAAGGTTGTGTGTTAGTGAGCTCCGAATGATAGCTTGTTCTCTTGATTCTTCCCTAAGTTTCTTCAAATTGCTTTTTTTAAAAAAAACATGGGTTTGAATGTGCTGTTAAACAGTGCTAGTGACATTAGTAGACCATCATGTGGACTTAAGTCCTGGTAGAAATGGAGCAGCTTTTAATGGACTTGGTTTCGATAAATTGGATTTAATAAAACATTACATTTTCTGAAAAAACTGCTTGACCACTGTGACCAAATCTGCAGTGCTAATAAGAAATTTACCAAGGGATAACTCACAAGAGAATAAGAGCTTATAATGTATGGTGATTAAGTTACAAATCTCAGCGAATGAGGATAGGATAGCAAGTTAGGTGTGATTTCTTAAGTGCACATAATAATATTAATACCCTATCAAAATAGCCCAAGACTAAATAGCTCGACAAAACAGTTCCAAAGAAATAGCCCAAGACTATAGCTTTACCTGAAACAGTGTCCAAATTCAAATTCTGAATATTTATTAAAAAACATATTTAAAACTGCCTTATATGAAAAAAACAGCCAATAACTTCTGTGTTATAAAAAAAAACCTTTTAACATTGTGTTTTGAATTGCTTTTTCATAATGTTACTGAGGATGTTGATTCTCAGATATCCTGAGGACTTCTTAAGTCAACATACTGAGGATATCCTATTCAAGTCTCAATGTCCCGTGATATATGAAGATCTCCTGAGGACTTCATAAATCAACATCTTAAGGAGGTCCTGTTCAAGTTGTAATGTCCCCGGAATATATGAAGATCTCCTGAGGATGTTGTTTCTCAGATATCTTCAGTACTTACTTTTTATGGAAGCTGATATCTGAAAATATTAAAGTAAAGTAACCTTGTACCACACGCAAGTCATATTATAAGAATCGAAATCTTACTCTATGGATTACTATTCTGCATATGAAAATTTAATTGTGATGCTTACACTTATTTTTGTCTTGTATACATTGGCTGTAAGTAATAATATTTTAAATTTTTGTTGTTGTTTCACAGTGCCTAGTGACCAGAGCCCTTTCTTACAAATTATAGGCACATTTTTTTAGCCGTTTTGAGTTTCATATTGAAAGTGTGTTTAAGATTAAATTCTAATTGCTACATAATATATTTTATAAACATTATTTTATATATTTTGCTAATATCTTTGAACACAAATATTATTTACATTACAGGTTCGCTCAGAAAATCTTTCACAAAGACATTTATCCTATGAACAGATGGGCATGATGATGCTTTAAGTAAGTAATCCTTCAGGCTGCAGAGAATGAAACCACTAAACTCTGGTAGCTCAACAGGATTTAGATCCTGGGGAACTAACAGGCTGCATGAGATTTTTCATGTTTTTCTCATTTTTTGTGTATAGTGTATAAATGAGCCAATCTCTCTTAAAAAAGCAAAGTTGTTATTAAAGACATTCCTTTCCTTTGTTAGACTGCCTCTAGTGCTTTGCCACAGATCCTTAAATCAGGCTAATAATATATATATATATATATATATTTTAATTTCCAATGGCCAGCACTAGCTGTTAGAGAGAAAGAACACTACTAAGGCTGGAAGCGGTGGTCACTTTATTATGAGGGTAACAGATAGGCTACCGTTGCCTCCTATGAGGGTACAGGGTACAGACAATTTACATCCATGCCTTATCTGACATTCGAACTTGGGCCCCTCTGTACGGCAATCAGTCACTAACCACTTACCCGTCTCTGCGGTACTAATCAGAAATAATGTAGCACTAAGTTGCTTGAGAATATGGTGCCATGCACGATATTAAGGCATGGCTGAACCATACACTTACTAAATCAAGTTATAAAAGTATTCTATTAAATTCATCGAAGATTTTTAGAGCAAAACGTATTACTGAAAGGATTTAGATCCAAAAATAGTTCCATTACCTAGTTCTTAGCATAGAAATAACTATACTTTGAAACTGCAAAAGAAAAAAAATTTTGATCTCTTACACTATTATATTAGTAATGAATGATGTTTAGTGCTGTGCAGTAATACATAACAATATTTTTTTTTAGAAAACAAAATTTTAGTTTATTTATGAGGTTTAACTTGCTTTAATTTGAATTTATAATCAGAAGAATAATTTTATTGGGCTAAAAAATTCATTGCCGTTTCTTCGTTCATTTTCTGGTAAGTTCTTTAATAATGAGAATTAGTCTTTCAAAGCGACTGAGGTAAGTAACTTATTTTTTACCTCTCTGTAATAGAATGAGGTTTAAGAATAGGAAGAAGTAACATTACGTTCTTACTCTCCTCAAACCTCTGCTACCTTAGGGAGCTCTTTAACCATACAAATATCCAATCTTTGCTAAACAAAGTGCGAAAAAAATACATCCAGCGCTCTCCAATCTTATACGTTATGTCGGCAATGCTACATGACTCCTCATTATTTAACAATAATTACTGCTTAATTAATTTATTTGTAACATCCAGAAAATGCAATAAACACGTTTCTTCAAGGTATATAACACAAAGTTAAATGTTGTTATGAAAACTCAAAATTAGATAACAGAAGATTAAATAGGTGTTCAAACTTTAAATTAAAATGATTTAATTTTTAAATGAATTGCGTTCTTTAAACTCAGCAGTTTTCTTATTTTATTTTATACTTATATATATCATAAATAACAATTGAAGTTGAAAATCTTAAATTTTTGTTTCTATTAATACCATTGTTCGTAAAACTGCTTCTCAACTTTACTTTGCATTTGAGAAACCGAGCTCCACTCAGAAAGTAACGCCTCTTAGCACTTTTTCTGTAGCCGATGCCCCAAGATTTCTTTTTGTTAACGTGGAAGATTTCCCTTCTTTGTATCCCCCTGCAAGGGAAACATACCTTCACAACAAAGCACACAGAATGCCCCCAACGGTTTTACTTGCTCCGTAATAGTGATATCCTTGAAGAACCACACAAAGTGGAAAGTACTCGTACTTACTTTCTGATTTCCAGAATTCAGCTATTCTGCTAAACGTTAATTGCCGTCGTTCCAAATTCTGTTTCAGTTAGGAACTGACTTGCTGACACTTGCAAGCGTTACATTGAGAGAGTGTGAAAAGTAAGTTTCAAAATTTTTCCTTTATTCTACAAAAATGATCAGAACTAAAAAAAAATTCTCTCAGCTATCTAAAAGACGGATTTATAGGAGAATAAATCAACGTATATTATCGGATTTGTCAGAAGATGAAGTAGCATTTAATTACGAAAAAAGCCTGTGCCAAATTTTCGTGCTAGCGAATGTTCTTTAAGCTCCATTTCAAACTGTGATTCAAAATATGAATTTTTATGTCTCAAGATGAACTGACTGATGACGATTACCAGAATGATTATCCCATTTTAAGGAATATTCCAAATATAGGATTATTAAATATTCCGTTAGACTTTATGCACCTTGTGCGCTTAGGAGTAGCATGAAAAATGATTACTATTAGGATAGGCGGAGGCACCTTACAAGCACGATCGCCACATAAATATGTTGAACTAATTTTTAAAAAAAATTGAACAGTTTTTAAAGCCTTATGTACCAAATGAATTTACAAGAAAACCAAGGACTCGAAAAGAATTGAAACACTGGAAAGCTACAAAATACCGTCAATTTTTACTGTACACTAGCACACTTATTTTTTTATTTTATTTTATTTATTTATTTATTTTTTTCCAAAAAGCTATATGATTATTTTTTACTACTTCATATTTCAATTAGACTCTTATGAAAATACAGAATCAGACGGCAATTGTTGAATACGCACAGTCCTTATTAAATCTCTTCGTAGTAAATTTTGGGCTTTATTATGGTAAACGGTATATTTCTCATAATGTTCACGGCCTACTACAAATTTGCGAAGATGTAAAAATGTTTGGGCCATTAGATAATTACAGTGCATTTAAATTTGAAAGCTATATATCTTCCATAAAAAAATTTATTAGAAAATCTTCCTCTCCATTACAGCAAATAACAAGACGAACTCATGAACTGTTCAATCATATTGTAGCCATCAATAATGACTCAATCAACATAACCGACTTAGTTCATAATTTCAAAATTTACACATATCTGGGCCACTACTTAAAGGTTATTAAATGCTTAATTTTATTATTGAATTTTGAATACAAATTAACTGAAGTCAGAACTGAATTTTTAAAATAATTTAATTATGAATATATTGAAGAATTCAGTTTTGGGCTATTGAATGGTTAAATATGATTGAAGTATTTTTAATATTTTAAAGCAAAATTTTCTCTTATAATATTTTGTATTAATAATTCATTTCAAGTCCCTTGCTCAGTTTTAGATATATTTACAAATTATTAAATAAATTGAAATTCAAATTGAAAAAATAAACTGTATAAATATTCTTAACATTTCTTATTTTTCCATAGTAACCACAGATGGAGGACCTGAGACTATCTGTGGAAAATAAGCAGGTTTAAGGTTATCACAACACCTTCATACCCTTTCACTGGAATATAAAGAAGATTCCTGGGAATATACTGGGATGTAACATTAAGCAATTGAAAATATGTATTTAAAAGGTTAAAGGAATATTGTAACAAATATTTCAAATCCTAATAACATCCCATATGTCAGTGGGACCTAGATATGACGTCCTAAGGATATACTGGGATGTGACATTAAGCACTCGGGAGGATGAGTTTAAGAGGAAACTGGGATTTTACGGGATGTCCTGAGGATGTAGTAAGTAGGACTTTAAATCCTAATAACATCCCATAACACTGTCAATGGGACATAGATAGGATGTTCTTAGGATATAATGGGATGTGTTTAGGAGGTTAGTGGGATATCTCGGAATGTCCTGAGGATGTAGTAAGTAGGAGTTCAGATCCTAATAACATCCTGTACGCTGCCAATAGGATTTTGTTAGGATGTCCTGAGGATATACTGGGATGTGACATTAAGCACTTGGGAGGATGTGTTTAGGAGGTTCGTGGGATATCCTGAGGATGTGCGCATATCCCGCGAGCAACATCCTCAGGATATCCCAAGGATGTTTTTATGCTATCTGGGATATAACTAATACCATTCAGAGCCAAAAAATATTTCAAGCAAGTAAATAGCCTGATATGTTAATCGCATAAAAAATGCATCTGACATATTGAATATTAATCAAATTTTAAAGTTTACCACAATACCGTATTTGACGGCAAGATGGAGCTGGGAATCGAAGGTTATGTTTTTGTTTTTTAGCAGTCTTCAGTTGATCTTCCTGCAGTCGCCAGATACGTATCATTTTTTCGATAGGTGGTGGACCGAAAAGCCTTGCTGCTGCTCTGTTTACATGCACTTTGGCGTAATTTAACACTCCTACTATTTATAGTTTATACTGAATTTATATACTAGTTTATACTACTAGTTTATACTGAATTGTATAGCTTAATCTCTTGTTTCCTGTAGTCATATTTTCCATTTTTTTTTAAACTGTAGTCATATTTTCCATTTTTTTTAATTTCCGTATTTTTTTTTAAGAAATAGTTTTAAGTACCGATACTGACACGTTTATACAGAGTAGCCCCGATACCGACACGTGTGTCGGCTGAGTCAAAGTCTATGTAAAGAAGAAAAGGCTCCATACATGTAATGTGACCGTCGAACCTGTTCGAACTTCAACATCAGCTTCGAGCTTTGCCGCTTTTTGGCAACAGATATTTCACGCATGCGCAAAATTATTATGGCAGATGTAGAAAAAGTTACGTATGTATGTCTAGACCTTTATCCGGGCTAAAAATAGCATTCAGTATTGAAAGTTACCTTGTGTTCTTCACGTATAAGAGGCAGGTAACTTTTTTGAGACCAAATTTAGGAAAAAAAGTGCGTCTTATATGCCGTCAAATACGGTATATGAGCATTCTCTCTCTCACACACATACACATATTAAAAACATTGTTCACACATTTAAAAATTCCCTAAATCCCAATTATCATAAAATCCACAAATTAGATTATGAAGAAAAATTTAAACATCTATGGAAGCTATGGAAGAAAACAACTCTACCAATACTTACACAATATTCAATACTGCATCTTTCAGTTTCACAGTATGTATACATCTCCACCACTGGGCAACAGATGAATGCACATATATACTACAATACAAAAGATTTATTTTAGCAATTATATACTAGTTATCTCAATGTAAAAAAAAAAAAAAAAAGAAAGTCTTCAGATTTTATATTATGCCCAAAGGAGCATTTTTTAATGTTTTGCGTGTTACATTTGTTTATTAAATATCATGTTCTTCGCAATTAAACCATAAAATTCAATTTAACAGCAATATCACAAAATATTTAAAACAGCATATCTTCCAATATTTCCAATACACAGTCTCGTGTCCTGGAGATAAAAATGTTCCCCCCCAATACAGTGTTGCCATTGCTCGCTTTCAAATCGTTGAGTTTCTTAATCAAACACTCATAAATGCTATAGAAAATACAAAATAGATAATAAAACAAATTAAAAATTCGGGCTTCCAGATGCCCACATTCGGGTGGAGACGTACGTTATTCAAAATTTGATGGCTCTAGGTACCGTTGTTTTATCACAATGCGAAAACATACGTACATTTATGCAGATTCTTCATTATTTAATCTATTTATATATAATACAGGGCGATAATATTTGGCAGCAACAATTTAAAAAGCGATTCACCAATTATAGTGAATCAACACAAAATGCCAAAATGAAATTAATAGCCCTTCTGGGCTAATGCACTTTGGGCCTTAAAAAAAAAAAGGGGGGGGAAGCATTTCTTTGGTTCTATTATAAATATTAGCTGACTCAAATACTCACTCATAATGCAAATATCTAATACATGACAAACAGTTTTTTAGGGCAAAAAAACATATATTATATCAAACACTTACATAGCAACTATGATTAGCAAATGGACTGAAAATTTGATTCATAAGAATTTTCTCACACGTCTTACAATTAGATTAAGTACCATTATTTTTCTTAAGAAGGTTCTTGAAAGTAATTGTTTGCAGTTCTAGGTTTGTACTAATTAATAGGCCTAATCACCCATCTAAACAAACAAAAAAATAATTACAAATAACACAAAAAATTTGATTTAAGTAAAAAGCTACAGAAGAGAAATCTGATTGTGAATTAGCTATGTGGATACTGGTGTTATAGCTAGATTAAAAAGAAAGCCCTTTAAAATGGCCGTTAAAAAGAAAGAAAAAAGAATAACTAATATGAAACAAAAATAAAATAAAAGTCGAAAATCCTCGTGAAATTTAAGAATGCCTTTAAAACTCACAAAAATCTTCTGCAACTATTACTTGATTTGTAAAATTCATTACTAGTGATAGTCATTACTTTTGATTTAATGAATCTTTATGCCAAGGCTTGAAATGAAATTAAAAGCTTCATGATAATCCATAAATCGAAAACATCTATCTCTAATATAATGAAAAATTTTCTACTATAAGGATACATAAGGCATTTGGATTTGTCAAATTCATGTCCAATTTTCAAAAATTAAAAAATGTTAATTAAGAAACTAGAATGAATACTGGGTGGAGAAAAACAAGATTAATAAAGGTTGTAGAATTTTATCAAAGCAAAACATTTTGAATGCAGAAACTAAAAAGAGAAATCAATAGAAAAATAGGAAGAAAATCAATAAATGTTAAATACAGTACCAAGTCCATAATCCGGACTCATCGGGACTTTGGCGATTCCGGATTAGGGGTTTTTCCGCATTATAGACCATCAATTTAAATCTGGTAAGATGGCATGCAGAAATTATACAATTAAAAATATGAAACTGTGATTTCTGAAATAAAGAGCAATTATGATCTAAAGGGTATCAAAATTTACAAAAAAAAAAAAAAAAAAAAAAAAAAAAAAAAAAAAGCTTAATATTTATTTGTTTACTTTAGTAAACATTTCTATCAATGTAAGTTGTTTAAGTTGCTTTATTTTTTCTGCTAATACTTTCTCTTTAATTCTATAAACAGGCATAATTTCTTGTTCAGTTACAAAGTTCCAATGTTCAAGTCCTGTAATTGCTGTGTCAAGACTAACTTGTCAATCGAAATTTTTTCATTTTCAATAACATTCTTTATTACTTTCTTCACTATTGGAAGCGCACCTGGGTAAACACTTTACTGGCTTTACATACATGTATAGCAGACGCGTGCATCAAACGCGCATGCGTAAGTTTGTGGCTTTGAGGTCCAGATTATAGATCATTCCAGATAATGGATGCCGAGACTTTGTACTGTATCAAGCATGAGCATCAGATCAGAATGAACTGACAGATTAAGATTTATATAACTTTGCTCCAGTATTTGAAACAATAAGAAAAAATTTCAGTATGGCTACAAAATGATGGAATATAATAAGTTTTTTTCAGAACAAAATATATTCTATGCACAGAGCTATTCTGAGCTACCCATGTTTTCCAGTTTTTTGGACTTTTCAGGGAAATGAAACTCACTGAATTTAGTAACATAATTGTTGATATTTAACTGCAATTTAAAGATTATAACTAATACTAAAAAAATATTTATAATTATAACTTAATTTTTACTTTTGAAATAATTTTATATTTGTTTTCCTTAATTATAAATATCTCATGTGACAAAACAATAACTGAACTAGGAAAGCTTTCATTCTGTCTCATTAGTAAATTGTCAGTACTTGATAGTTAATGAGTCTAAAATCTTTAATACTTCTCCGTGCTTTGAGATTTACCACAGTCAGTCTTCATTTTAAATTTTGTTACTTCTAACTGTAAATAGTCTTTATTGTGTTGTTTTATTAATTTTAAACTTTATGGATGGATTTTATCAATTAAAACTTTGGAATAATTTGAATAGCACTTCCGAAAATTATTTTACAAGATAAGCAATTTTTTAAGTATATTTTCATGTGAAATAAAGAAATAAATGTTATTAAGTGCTAATTTTAGCATATATAAGAGCTCAAGTAATAATCTAAAATAATACCAAAAATTACGATGCTAGAAGTTAAACTTTTTTTTTCTGATTTTTTTATAAAATTAGGCTTAGCGATGCAAAACCTCCGTCCCGTACAATGACTGCCTTTGGTTCCCTTCCGTCCTGCAAGAGTGTCTTAAACAAAGGCGCGCCTTCGCAAACGGGTTAAAGTTCAGAATGATTACAGCAAATTTTTACCTTTTTTTGAATTTATTCATTTAAAATAACAAAAGAGATTATTATATGTAACAACAAAAAAAGTTCTATTTTGTTAGTTTATTTTTCAAAGATATTATTATAATTTTGTAGTATAATTTTCTTTTTATTCAGTTCTGTTTTCTATTCTTACTAAATAATTATGGGTACTCATCTATTATTGGGACCAGACCTAGAAATGTATGCATGTTATGCAGATTCAGAAATGTATGTATGTACACACATATGTATGGATGGATGGTCATGTATGTATGAGTGTATGTATACACAAGGATACTTAAATAAGTACATATTCACTTGGGTAGATGAAATACATCCATCCATCCTTGCATGTATACATACATTTTTTAGTACAGTCCCAATAACAGATGAATACCTAATTATGTGATTTTGCTTCTTTTGTTACTGATATGAGCTGAAATTCAAAATCAATGTAAATTCCCAAATGTAAAAGCAAATTTCATACCAAGTACACACAAATATATATATATTACCAAAATAAATAAATAAATAACCAAGAAAAGGTATTGAAAACATAAAAATAATAATACTTATAATGATATTAAGATGGCAATACTTAAATTCATAATACAACAATCAGGGCCTGTGGAATCATGGAGTCAGAATCAGAGTCAGGCAGATTTTGGGGTAAAAGGAGTCGGAGCTGGAGTCACTAAAAACAAGTCGACTCTGACTCCGACTCCAGTTTTTGTTGGACAGTTTGAATTTGAAATGAAATTAAAATGAATTGAAAAGTAATGACAAGCTGAGTTATTATTTTTATTTACGAACTGTATACATTAATAAATAGTTATTTTCTATTTTATTGACATATTAATAAATAAATATAAGGATGGATGTGATATTTGTCATTAGCAATTAAACTGATTCATTTAGTTAAAAATCTCACTGGTAAATTTAGGTAAGCAGCAAGAACTCCCTAAATTGATGCCATTCTGAGGAAGCGAGTAGGAAAAGGAGCTATTAAATCGAACAATGCGATGGAGAAGTACATATTTGATGATGTGGTGGTTGTTAGAATTAAGAATATTTTCAGAAGATGTAGATAACCTTAATATTTCACTAACAGAGAGACTGTGGAATGATCTTGCAGAATTTCATAACAAATGCTAATTAATATAAATAATTTGCTATGCCATCAATCTTTTTTTTTTTTTTTTCTGTTCAATATTTTTTTTCTTCTTTTATATTAAAAAAATAAGCTGTAACCCATGCGTGTATATATATGAGGAAGTCGGAGTCGGTCATTTTCCCTATCGACTCCACAACCCTGACAACAATACTGCATATGAACAAAACGTAAATAAGTTTAAAGATTAGATTCTTCTAGCTTTGTACCTAAGAAACTTGTGAACCCTATTAACAGATGTAGAACTAATTTGCTGTCAAATTTCTTATACTTTGGTGGATAACAGCAGTACTAATACAGCACAATAAATTCTGTTAATCTTGCTGAAGGCCACAGAAAAGTATGTCACTGATGTGTATGGCAGTGACAGTCAGAAATATAGTGTAGTGACTTCATGTATATGCATGGAATATGTACTACATATAGTGCTGCACATATTCCATATACATGCAACACAGCATATACTTTATGTTATATAGGTAAAACTCTACAGCACAAGCATTTATTACTGTATTTATGTGTGATACTGTATTTGTTACTGTTTATTACTGTACTTATGTGTGTTACTGTATTTGTTACCGTTTATTACTGTATTTATGTGTGTTACATGCATACTACATCAGACATACATTTAATATTACCTACTATTTCCTACAACAGCCCTAAAACATATTACTCACCGATATGAAGGCTCTAACATCTCTTAAACTTTGTCCATTTAAAAAATTTAGAAAACTAAGAATACTCTTGAGTATATCTTGCTATTTTCTAATAACTATTAATACTTTGTTTCAGAAACAGAGATAAGCATGAATTTACACTAACATAAAGTTTAAACTATTTTTTTTTTTTTTAAATCTTAAACCTATTCTGGAGTCACTGATTGGAGTACTATAATTGGAGCACACTGATTCATAAAAACATCAAGATTACTGACTAACTCACTAAAATTAAAGAATGTCTGCACTGAAAAATTGGTAAATAATTAATAAAACTTAAAAACTTTAAGTTACAGACCTTCCATTCTGTGCCCCCATCCACATGGTAGGCAAGACACTTGACATTTTTTCTATATGGTCATAGGCCAGAGGATTATCTTTTGATAACTCAGATATGCCATCTTTGATAATTTCAGGAGGATCTTTCATTACTATCCACTGCTGTTGCCTTTGATTAGAAATACTCTCTGAATCTTCTTCATTTTTATCTGCAGTTACCAAAAAAAAGTGTTTAGTAATCTGTTAAAAAATAAACAAATAAAATTATTCTACCTTATATTAAATGATAATTCACAGTGTCATTTCAATTTTAAAAAACATTTGAAATAAATGCATTTTTTTAATTCAAGTACTGTAACTTTTTGATTTAAAAAAAAAAAAAAAAAAAAAAACAAGTTGCACTTACTATACCTTCTAACGTATAATGCACACCTACAATTTCTGATAACATTTTTTTTAATTTTTAGTTATATTTGCCATAGAATGTGCACCCTTTTCTTTACAAAAAACCTGAAAGATACGTGTGTGATGGTCTTTTCGTTTGAAGTCATTCATTCAAAGACAAATTCCAGGCTTTCATACAATGGTGTACTGAATTGACAAGAGACAAGGGGAACAATATATATCCTGGGGAAAAGCTTGAAGAAGTAAATAATTCTGCAAAGAGCATATGTTGTATTCAATGAAAGTGTGCACAAGAATGTTATTTTAGGCTTTTGAAAGAAGGGCACATAATTTGAGGTAAGAATGCACTTCCAATCTGAATGAACAATTAGGATTCAGATGTTAAATACATCTCCTGAAAAATGAAACAAAGTGCTGATTTCATGTGCATGTCATTCAATTTGCAAAAGAATATGGAAATCATGCTGCGGCAAGGATGTTTGGTGATAGTGAAAGCTCCGTATGCGAGTGGAAGAAAAATGAAATCATAAGAATTAATATGCCAAAGACTAAATGTGCTTTGCATAAAGAAGAAGCAAAATGGCCTATCCTAGTTGCAAACTGCATCCTAGAGAAATGCCAAAATGGATTAATTATAACAAGAAACAGTAAACATTTACTTGCCTTAAAGTAGGCACAAAAGAATGCAAATGAAAGTGAAAACTTTATAACAACTCTGAGTAGTCAATTTATGGTATGAAATAATTTATTTCTCCCAGAAAAAACAAATGTTTCACAAAGAGTTCTGAAAGATTTGGACAGCAAATTGATAAGTTTCCTGAAGTATGTTATTGATCTGAAGACAAAAAAAATTTATTTATTGTTATATATTGGAAATATAGATGAAACGCTTAATAATGTTTGATATGATAGGAAATAAAACAGTTGATGTAAAAAGTAAAAAAAGGGTTCACATAAAAACTTTTAATTAAACAGCATTTGGATACATTTAGAAATTTAATTTTGTATGCTCATAATTTCCTTATTCTTAAACCTATCATTTTTATATCCGGCGTATAACGTCCACCCATCAATTTCCATCTTATTTTTTGCGTGTTATACGCCAGAATATATGGTACATTAAATTTACAACCAGCAAAAATTCATTATCTATCCCAGAAATATATATATAGTCGCTTTCAGATAACGTACCTTCATTAGGAGATGTTGACTGTCTAAATAAAACTGGTTCACTATCTGAAAATGTTTGAACATATCAATAATACTTTTCAAATTGGTAAACAAATTTTTACTTATAAGACTACAGGTATTTAAAAACTCTTTACTCATATATATAAAAATATATTTTAGTCATTTTATATAAAACACGTATTTGATTCATGTTATTACATAATACCCTAAAGAGGAAAGGCTAAATAAAAAATATTAAATAAATTCCAGTTCCAAAAATTACAATTCACTAAAAAATAGTACAAATAGACTTAACTTCCTTTTCATGTAACATTTGAAGTTTATAAATTTCTTACTTCCATTCAAATTAAAATTTTGATATATAAAATAATAATTTAGGTTAAAAGCATGCAAAACTTTTAAAAAATTTCATAAAACACATAAATTTACAATTACTAATATATAACTCCCTAGCTAACTACTACAAAGAAACATTTATTAGAAAAAAAATACTGACAAAGAAATGAATAGAAAGGATGATGATGATATTTTTGCCATTAAAAAATTCATAGAATACCTAAAATAGTAAAGACTATATTTATTCCATTCAACAAAATAAAATCAAGCATAAAATGCAGTGGAAGCAGCAACAGAGAACAAGCAGATTTCCCCAAACCTGCCATATAGTATATGCCGTGCATATAAAGACCATTCCGAAGTTTCAGAAAATGTCCAGTAAGCAAGTAATCCATGGCAACAATTCCATTACTGCAGATTACTGATACATGCAAATTACTGAAAAAGCCCCAAAAAGAATGCATGCAACCACACAGGAAATTTGGCATTCTAGTAGCTAAACCCTGCAGCAGATTAGATAATAGGATTGCATTTCTTAAGCTAATAGTTAATTACTATTATCTAAAGTTTGCAAAGAAAAAACATATTTTTTTATTAACAGGTATAAATTACTTCTTACAAATAATGTAAGGAAAGACATATTTTACTAATGAGGTAATTATGTGTTTTTCCAAAAATAAGACCCAGTCTCCTATTAATATTTGCTCTGAGACACTCATTAGGGCTCATTATTTTTTCATGTACACTTTTCCTTATTTTTTCATGTACACCAATTAACATTTATCAATTTCCAACAATCTATTCATTCAATCTATTCAATGTAACTTTATTTATTTACACATTCAAGGAACTAAATTTATTTATCTATATCTACACAAAATTTGGATTTATTCAAATACAATCATGACATCTACTTCTGAAACATTGTCATAAAGCTCCAAATCTCACATTTCTGCCTGAACTTTTTGCAATTCTTTTTCCTGTAGAAGTACTGGCCCTAATCTCTCATGCCTAGTAATAAAGCTCTTCTTAAATGAGCATTTTTGTCCTGTTGCCAGTTCATAGTGCATTTACAACACAGTTTTCAATGATTTTATTCCGAGATTTCTTTCCCTATGTCGTAGCCAAGCAAGTAGGCTTCACAGTAAATCTGCATTGAATTTTTTTGTTTTTTTTTTCCCCTTTCTATGTTCAATGAGTGATTGATTTCCATGTGAAAATAATACTTGAATGACGTCTTTATTGCAAAATAAAGAATCTGAAACATTCATTCTTATCATAATCATCAATCTATTTTTCTTTCTACAGAGAAATTCTTTGTGTTTTTATGTTAAGTTCTGGTTAAATCCCTAACTAGCAAATCTCTTTTTTAGTGATGATTAGTGTACAAATAATTTGGTTTTTAGTGATGATTAGTGTAGTGATGACACAAACATTGTGTAAGAAACAGAGATTAATATGATGCACCTCTGACCAATTATCAATTGATATCCTTGACCCATAAACATTGCCATTTCATCATCAACAGTCATATTAGCAAGACGGTATATAGAAAAGTCAATGTCATTAACAAAAGACTTGAATGCAAGTGTTTACTTAATAATTTGGAAAACATTTTTCTCGATCAATGTTGTTGATATGCTACAGAGTTTCATCTTCTTTGGTAGCATGAATTAAATGAGAACTCTAAAGATCAAAGCCACTTATTGATATGTCTTGTAAATTACAACAGAGACTGACAAAGGGTATAAAAGCCCTTTCATTTAACTAAAATAATAGTTAACAGAAGGAACTGCTCGTGCTTATAGAAATAGATAATCAAAAGGTAACACATTTAGTTTAACTAAATAAAATGTACATTAGCCCAAAAGCTACACAGACAGAGAAACGTGCAAGATGGCTCAGACCGAATATCAGCATATCTGGGTGCCAAGCCTAATGGCAAGAATAATGCAATACTGCAGATATAAAACTTTCCTTTAAACACTATCTCTTTTCTACGCACAAACTTGAAATCAGCATTCTGGCAAGAAAATTAAAAGCGAGAAAAACAGCAAAAGTAATTAACATAAAATAATTAGTTAGTAAAAATAAATAAATCCTTACAATGCTTAAGAGACAATTCATGTCACTGAAAGAAACCATGCATATAATACTGTGAGATGTTTTGAATTCTTCTGGGAATTTATCTAACAGCGGTGCCATTGTAAGAGCAAATGCTTGAATTCTCTGCAAATAATCAAAATTGCTCTTCTGCCAACATTAACAAGTAGTCTCTTCTAAATAAATAAATACTGACTGCCAACCTGATGAATACTTATGTATCTTAGTATTTCCTTCATACACTGTACTTTGGTTATTGTAGTTTGATCACTGAAGTCATTAAGATTGTATATTGAGATTATTGTACTTTGATCACCACTTTTGAGATATATTCTGACATCTAACTTACCTTTGCAGAAAGATGGAAGATTATTTTTTTGGAATTGCTCCTTAATTCCTTTATTGTATTTGATTGAATAGTGCTTTATATATATATATATATATATATTCTTGCTTAAGGATCAAAATATTATTCCTTTTAAATCTATTTTTAAATTAGTGTTAACTGAAAATTTACATTACAACAAAACTATTAAAAATGATGGACCACATAAAAAATTATGAAAAATTACAGACACAAAATTTCAAAAACTGTTTTTTACTTTCTTCTGTTTATTACTCAGAATGCACAAAACTGTTTCTTTACTTTCTTACACAGATATATTATGTATGTCCATTACAACATATGATGTATTGAATTATGAATATTCTAAATAATCACAACCATGTCCATTCTTTATCAGGCTCACAAGTGTTTTGAGTCAGGACTCCAACTGGTCATTCCGGAATAAGTCTGGCTGACGATCTTAACTACGGCTTATTCTGGGGGTAAAGCTTATATTTCAAACATACTGAAAAATCCTACAGCTGATCTTTGGAATATGGTAACAGGTAGTTTGGCGACATTTTGGAGGCGATAAAGGTAACTACCTAGGACTTTTGTAATAATGTAAGAAGTACTCAGTTCCGATTACGCATTATTTTGTGTGAGGGAAATGAGAGATCATGAGATATGTCATGTGACATTAATGGACGAATTACAGTTCTTTAATCGGAAAAGGGGGTAAATTTGGAAAAATATCTGCATTACTATATTATTTTGTATTAAGCTTCATTGTGTGTTGTGTGAAATAGTGTTGATTAATTTTCGGATTGCATGGCGCTATGTAAAGTGAATTCTAAATTTTTAATGCGTTTATCTGATAATAATAATAAGTTGAGATAGTGTGAAAGGAAGGATATTACAGATAAGTTTGAATGGCTGTGCAAGAAATCTGGTGAAAATGGACATTTTGTGAAACGGAGTGTAAGGAAGGGTACGTGGTTTGCTGAAAGTAGTCTGAGTATGGGTGAAATTTTATTAATTTCTTATTACTGGGTGAATAGACTGCCAGTTGACTACTGGATTTCGGATTTAGAAATTAGTTGTAGTACTGCAGCCGATTGGAACTCTTTCTGTAGGGAAGTATGCGTACCACGTAATGAAGATTCTGAAGAAGATTAGGTAAGTTAGTATTTTTAATCATTTGAGGATATTATTTTTATGCATTGTTCTAAATGTAAGAAGTAAATAAATTAATATGGTATTATTGGAAAATTGTTATTAGCAATGATTTAGTTTAAAGTAATTAGGATTGTAATCTAATTTTTATTAATTTAATGTATGTGCTTATTTATATTTTAAGTAGTTTTTTTTTTTTTTAAATTTAATTATATTTTAATTTAATGATCGTGATTTTGTGAGTTATATGTTTATAGTATTTTGGAATACGTTTGAGTAGTATACGTTGAGTATTTTCATGCATTTTTGTGAAATTTTTCTAATTTATGAGAAAAAAGCAGTGTACATGGATATAGTGAAGAGTGTGCGCAATGCCATTTTTGTGCAATTCTGGGATGTTTTTTTAAGTAAAAATAAGTCGACGTGTACATGGTTTAGTGATATTTTAATTAAATGATGGTTATTTTGTGAATTTTATGTTTGTAGCAATTTGGTATACGTTTCAGTTGAAGTAAACGTGCATGGAAATAATTTAAATATTTGACACTAAGTATTTGTAACCATTTTTAATGTTTGCAGTAGAAATTCGTTGGTGACGTTTATAATATAATAGATAATTTAGAGATAAAAGTTTTTGGATATTTTATTTATTTTATACGTGGAAATGTTCATCCTTGGAAAGTGTATATACTTTTTCGCAATCAGGTAAATTCATATATGTTCTTTTTACCGGATTTAAAGATTCACAAAATTTTCATGCATTTTCGTGAAATTTTTCTAATTTATGACAAAAAAGCAGTGTACATGGATACAGTGAAGAGTGTGCGCAATGCCATTTTTGTGCAATTCTGGGATGTTTTTTTACGTACAAATAAGTCGACGTGTACATGGTTTAGTGATATTTTAATTAAATGATAGTTATTTTGTGAATTTTATGTTTGTAGCAATTTGGTATACGTTTCAGTTGAAGTACACGTGCATGGAAATAATTTAAATATTTGACACTAAGTATTTGTAACCATTTTTAATGTTTGCGGTAGAAATTCGTTGGTAACGTTTATAATATAATAGATAATTTAGAGGTAAAAGTTTTTGGATATTTTATTTATTTTATACGTGGAAATTTTCATACTTGGAAAGGGTATATACTTTTTCGCGATCAAGTAATTTCATATATGTGCTTTTTACCAAGTTTAAAGATTCAGAAAATTTTCCTGCATTTTCGTGCAAATTTTTGTAATTTATGAGAAAATAGCAGTGTAGATGGATAAAGTTAAGATGTGTGCAATGCCATTTTTGTCCAATTCTGAGATGTTTTCTTAAGTAAATATAAGTCGACGTGTAAATGGTTTATGTGTATGTGCTATTCTGAAAAACGCGCAAGGAGTTTGCGATTGTGCACTTTTTCCCAATTTTGCAGTTAATATTTGTCATGATGAAGCAGTTTTGTTACATAAAATTTCTAGCATAAGTGTAATTTGGCTAGTAGATTGTTGGAAAAAGTGTTGAGTAAATAAAAGAAAAGAAACATGTCTTTACTTCGTGAAGACAAAATGGCGGCGAAAAAAAATAGAGGGTTGCTGTAGCAGAGTTGGTCGCCAAATTTTCGCCAAAAAGTCGCCAAGTTACCAAAATCCAAGGATCAACCAATCCTACTACTACTTATTTACCAATTATGCCTTATTTGGGAAGAAACAAGAATAATGTAAGTATTTGCCAAATGGCAAATCTCTCATGTAATCAATATAAATAAAGTTTTAATAAAAAATTTTTATTCATAAACAAATTATTATACAATCATAAATTTTTAAGCAGCCATCTTTGCCTATTTTGGGGGCAGAAAGGAAGAAAATATATTTTCTAATAAGAATAATGATTTACTAACTATCAGCTTTTAATATAACTAATTCTACATCAGTTTTTAAAAAATCAAACATATACATTAAAAGAAAAAGTTTGCTTTCATTTGCCTCATTAATTACAACCATTACATTTTAAATAAATATACCTTTACTATCATTGGTAGGAGAGGGAGGACTAGAAGGACCAGTAGAACAGCTAACAAAAGTTATATTTCCAATGCTGCTCACACTATCACTAGATTTACTATCATCATGTAATTCCGTTTTATCACTTTCTAAACCAAGTTTCAGAAATTCCTCATCAACTGGATAGTCAGATTCACAAGCACCTGTTTAATAAAATAAACAATTTATTATCTATTCATAAAATGAGATAATTACCAATGCATTAGAATACATACTTTTGAAAGTTTAGAATTATGCTTATAAAATAACTCATCTGTAATATTTAGCATTATTTTATAAAGTAAATTTATATAATTTTTTTTAATTCAGAAGAATGGGAACAGAAAGCTGAAAATACTAGTTGAAGTTTTTTATTAATTATTTAGATTAAACAAAAATAACAAAGTTCAAACAAGGAACAAAAGTACTAAGATATATTTAAAACAATTATTTTTATGCAAGCTGCATCTTTTCTTTCTTATTCTTATAATTATTCAATTATATTTCAATCAAATATGACACATATATAAAATAAGTCTGCACCCATTAAATTTACCTTCCTTTACTAATTTTAGTTCTAATACATTCCCTATAATCCTTACAGCAATGTTATGCTATGTTATTAAAGAACAGAAACTATTGGAAATATATTCATTTCAAGGAAAAATATGCTAGAACCCATTAAATTTTAATTAAATATCATGAAGCATCATGATTACCAAATACTTCTCCCTATAACGTATTCAAAATCAATGATACGAAAAAAAAAGAAAGAAAATCTCGAACTAATCAGCCAAACCAAGATTAGACAAGATCATTCAGCTGTTTTCTTTAGCAATAGATAAAAACATAAGAATTCAAGATTTATACACTTTATATAAGTTTACATAATACAATAAATATTGCAAGAAACATATTATTTTCAATATACATACTGATGATAATTTAAAGAAACTATTACTCTCCATAGATTTTTTATAATTTTTAAGAAATTTTACCATTTATGAAATTAACCTTTTATAGTTATTCTTAATATTACACATATATACTGCAATCAATTTATTTTTGCATCTGTATAATAAATACAAAAATCTGTTTCTCTTTATGTAATCTCAAATGATAGTTTTAAATACACATTTCACACAGGTTCATAGTATTTTCAGGCAACAAAAAATCTGATGTGTACCCCACATGACTTCCTTGTACGGAAGATTAAATTCTACGCATTTTTTCTTGCATTTCATTTAAACTTATTGGATTGAATTAAATCTACTTCGCTGATAGCACATAAGATGCAATAAAATAAATGCACTCTTTAAAATTCACTACATTTGTTTACCATAGCCACACTCTGGCACTAGGTTCACTTAACAGCATTATATTTCGTTCATATTATAACTCAGAATGCACAATTTATATCATTTGAAGAATTATCTAATCGTTGCCACATGTTCTATTCAGATACTATAATAAATCTAGAACAATGTATAAAAGAAATTAAGCAAACAAAACAAAAAAGAAACAATATCTCACAGACGATTCAGTTTTTACAAATATACATAAAAACTCAAATTCAAAAATACATAAAAACTCAAAATATCTATATTAAAAATTACGAAGTAAATCTCAAACGCTTATTTCCTCGAAAAAATTCCAGAAAGGATTAAGCATGATTTAATTGGCAATAATAAATGAAGGCATTATCTTTGTCGTTGCAAAGCTTAGTCTCTCTAGATTGGTAACAAATCTACTATTCTGCTGTTTTAAATGTAAACAAAAATGTCCGCCATGTTATTTAAAAGTTAGGTTTATCCGCACTTAAACAGCTTTAAATTATTGATAATTCTACAAATATTGCTTTCAGATTGCGTAAAGACATAAAAAACCTTAACCGGAAGATAAGAACAAGAACAACATAATCCAATCAGTTATAAAGGAAAAAATTCACAATTTACAAACATATAAGAGTAAAGAAAACTGAGATCACTGAGCCGGGTAACATTTATGTATGTTTTTATGTATGTTTATGTATGTTTTTATGTAATTTATGTATGTTTGATGTGGCTGATTGCAACCAAAATACGAGGTCACATCTACATGTTATAGCAGTCCTATATACAAAATTTCAATGTTCTAAGGCTACTCATTTTTGAGTTATGCAAGATACATACTTACGTACGTACAGACACCACAAAAAATTCTCTTCAGAATTTATTTTAAAGCAATTTTATAATTTTTTTGGAGGAAAAGATGACAGTAAATACAATACGTACAGATGTCACGCAAAAACATCGTGAAATTGAATTCGATAGCGATCAAAATGGATATTTTCGTTGAAATATGCTATCTGAAACGTTTCGCGATTTCAATACTTTCTTTTTACTTCGTACAAGGAAGTAAAAAAATGCACGTGAAAACATAGTAATGCTTCCTTACTCAATGTAAACAGCAGAAAATTTGCATTATATATGTATCTTTTTGAAATCATATTTCCATAATAAAAAATATTAAGGAAATAGCAATAATTAAGAGAAAATATAAGTACAGAGCCATGGCATAAAGCACAATATTAAAAGATTAATCATATTAATTTGCTAGTAACTGTTAATATTTATAAAAACATGAATAAAATCAGCCACAGACTAATCAAAACAATATTTTTCATCAACTTATAATGGCAATTTTATTTCTTAAAATTAATTTATTGTGTCACTAATTATTTCATTAAACATTAAAGGTGGTGGTAATAACATATGCCATGCCCTAATTATGCCTTATAATTATATTTACAATTTTAAACATGTGTTGGGATAAGAATCAGTTTTTTAAGCAAAGAAAAGGGTAATAATCTGTCATTTAAATAGAATTTATTAAAACTATACAAAAAATCAATTTATAAATGAAAAATATATAAAAAAATATAAAAAAGAAAAAAAAATACTATAATATATTTTGATGAATTTTAAATTACTTCTCCTTTATATCAGAATGCTTAGTTTCATTAATACAAAAAAGAATACATTTCCTCTTATTGCCTTATACACCTAAAATTACATTACTTCAGTTCATATTTTTCTTCTAAAGAAGCCTACGTATTCAAACAAAAGACGCTATTTCACATTTTTATATATATATTTGTATTTTTATTTATTTATTTATTTATTTTGGTGCCTCAATCAAATAAGAAATAAAGTTGTTTATGTATTAGCCCAACCATCTTGACACAGATTAGTGATTTTTTATAAAAGAAAGAGAATAATGATTTATTCTTATTACCTTATTATTACAACAAAATGTATGTAATAATCAGAATTACTTTATTACATACATATTTTAAATATTAATTATGTATTTATCTTGAAAATTAATTGATAAAAACTCACTTGCAGGTGTTTCTTTGTTGCAGTGGAAATTTCTTCACCAATCATTTTATGAATAAATTCCAATTTGGAAAACAGCAAAAGGAATGCATATAAAAATTATAATGTTGCTTATTAAAAACTGAAAAATTATCATGTGCATGGTTTTCAGAGTTTTCCATTCTGAAAATTTGTCAACTTCTAGTAAAGTGACTGTGCTAAACATACAGTCGAATCCCACTTATGATGTACCTCTTGGATATAACAATTTTTTTATTAGGTCCAATTTCATATAGATTTAATGTTATCTTATAAGGATATAGCAAACCTTGAAATGTATATAAATTGGATACAATGAACTTTGTGGATATCTTCAACTGATTTTTTGTGTGTGTTTTTCAAACTTTTTTACAGAATTTCTGCAATTTTCAACTGAAAAATTATGAACCCTTGAAATAATTCTATTTAGGATATTAAAATAATGAAAAACATTTTTAGGTTACTGTTCTTTTAGCTCCCCCCCCCCTCCCGACACACACCTTGCTCTTTGTTCTCAATAATACGCTGTACGAGGCAGATATAGAACTTAAGTGTTTGGAAAACCAGGACACACCATAAAAATACCGTAAGAGATTCCTACTGTGTTATGCACTGAGCCAAAGAACATTAATCCACTCAGACAAACAGCTTGAATTGGTTCTTTGAATGAACTGTCGGCTCAGGCGTTCCTTTGGAGTCGCGACTCAGCCACCTACGCGTAGCGGTATCTCAGGATAACTAGATTAAAGATTTTCGATCACATATTAGTTTTGAAAGTCGAGAGAATCATGTAGCAACATAAAGTTTCATAGGAGAAAGTCAGTTGATGGCATAAAAACGTGAATTCTCAGCTAGTAATACAATGGGCCAATCGACACATCGCACTGCCTGTGGTGCCAGCCAATCAGATGGGTACTAAGTATGAGCAGACAAGAGTCCTTGAAGGCAAGTTCCATAATCAGTTGGGTGAGAAGAAATGCCAAAAATTGCAAACTGAAGAGAGAGTCCATGTGGGAATGAACTGTCAGACAGCAATATGTTCAAGGATGACGCTTATTCATATCGTAAATGCATATTTTATATCGGAATGTCTAATAGAAGGGAAGGGTCTAAACCATTACTCTAACACTAAATAATTTCTCATGCAAAATCATTAATGCATGGATGACAAAGAAATTAAGTAACTGCATGAATAATAACTGTAGTTAACTTTTAATACTTTTTTGGAACTTAAGTTACTATTCATTTATTTTGGGAGATGTGGTAATGCTAATCAATTTTTCTACGTGATTCATCAATAAATTTTTTGCTACATTGTGACATAATGCATTTTGTTTCCTTATCAGACCAGATGTAGCAAACCAGAGTTTGGTTTGCTAAAAGTTCGCTAGAGCAGAGTTTGATTGCTTACAGCAGAATAAATTTCAGTAAAGTAAAATTGCTAGTGATCTCATTTATATATAATTTAATAGAAACTTTAAACACAGTCTTTTAATGCAAAACCAAAGTATTCATTTTCTTTAAATTAGATTCTATTTACCAGGAACACTTGCAATACATAGCAGATGGGACGAACAGACGAAAAAGCTACTCAGAACATCTCCAGGATTTCTAGCATCGATGACATTTACTTTACTGTTTGTGTGTGTGCTTGTTCCAATCCAGATCAATGATGAAAGTTTCTGTTCAATTTCTTCATTTTCCTTCCTGCATTTCTCTTGCTCCTAAGTTGGAAATGAATTAAATTTCAGTGAAAGATTTTGAATAGGAACATGAAATTTATGGTACTTGTGTGGTAGTACTCTAAATTATTTCAAAATATATGGAAGGAAGAAATGAGATATATTGCCCAATGTGGCTCATTTTCATAAAATAATCAATAATTTCAAGGATTAGGCGTCAAAAAATGTTACCACAATATTTCACTCTAGAAATGTCAAAAGATTATTCCGAATATATTCTGCTTTTCAACTATCTAATAACCATGTAAATCAGATAGCTTAAGTGTCAGATGGTTAGAGATCTTAAGACATGACATGCATTTTATCTAAAATGCTATAAAACCTTTTTATTACAATAACATAACATTATATATGTATATGTAATGATTTTGAATGCACAGTCAAAGCCTGGAACTCTTAACAGCTTTCAATAACAGTCCTGTCATGTGGTTAAAGCATACAGATACTTGGATTTCGATAATCACCAATCCTTATTTTTACACATATCCAATTAAGTTGGCAGACACTTATTCAATTATAATTAAATATGATAATTATCTATGTACATTGGCTTTTAAAGAAACGATGTAGGCATTTAAGCAAAGGTAAAGCCATGCAGTGTTGACAGAGCAGCAGTTAGGGAAGGGAAGAATGAAGCAATTAAGTTGCCAGCAGTTTTATACCAAATCTGAGGTATAAGTAGAGCTAATCTGTTATTGGTTAATTTGAGGTTATTACATAACATTGAATATTATCGAATTTGGGAGAACAGATGAATTTAGGAGGAGATCACCAAATCTTAGAATCATTAATTTTGAGGTCGTCAATTATTTTGAAAGCAACTATGGTATTTTGTTGTATTTTACATATATATTGCAATGTTCCAACCTAGAATTTACAGCTAAATGTGTGGAACCTTGAGAACTGGTAAGAGAATAATCGCTTTAGTTCAGTAGACAGAAACGCAAACTTGAGAAGGGTTACCCTTTATTGCTCAAAATAAAGTCCACAGCTGGCCCTTTCTCAGGACATATATAAAAGCCTCCACTTGGGCTTGAACTCAAGAATACTAAGAAATAAAACTTAACTAAAAAGATATAGCCAAAGCTATCAAAATTCTACGGGAGTTAGCCCCTTGAATGCTAACTAAATGGTGAAGCTATCAAGGGCCTGAAATACGGCCGAACATAGAAATAGCTTAGAGAGAGTATAGCCAAAAAAAAGGCAAGCGTGTGCTGGTCAGAACCTCTGGCTATCTAACGAAGTCAGTAGAACTTCCACTTTAAATACTGATCTTCCTTCATTTGCATTTAACCACGATTCTAAAAACACACTCTGACCGGAAATTGGTAAGCTGAAATTAGAAGAGATAGGAAAGTAATTTTAACTAAACATAACAGTTAACAACTTAGGACAAACCTTACAATATATATAATTTTAATACAGGTAGCCCACCTACAACACGGCATACTGTAACATGATTTGGTTACAACACAATTCATAAATTGCGAGAACCCTCCTACAACACGGTTTTCCTATAAACACGATAAGAAAATTGCCCAAGCAATCCAAAGAAATTTAATGAACTCTGCAACATTTTTCCATATATGCAAAGCAACCACATAATCATTTAATACATAAGAATTCCTTGTTTCATAAGTTCTGCCAGTTGTCTTCCTAGATCCGGTAACCGTAAGAACAAATGTCCTCAGATGACCAGTATGAAAAAATGTCCACAGATAACAATGAAGAAACCTCATTATTGCAGAAGGTAAACAACATGAGGTCACAATATGTGCTCTAAAATGCACAGCCTGCATGTTTAGCTTCCAAAATTCGAATCTTCGTCTCCCTGGTCTGAAACCAAAAGTGTCTCATATTGTTGGTCAGCAATATGTGTTGAGCTATGGTGTGTCAAAGAATAACTTTTCCGTCCTTATGACATTAAGTTTCAGTCGTCAGGCATGTCCAATAAAGATAAAAAAACAACGTTTAAGAGGAAATTCATTTCTTTAGAAGTACAGACACAAATTTTGGACCGTCTTTTAAAAGGAGAAAAGGCATCTCACATTGGGAAAAGTTTTAATTGGAATGAAGAAACAGTCCGGACTATTAAGGAAAATGAAAAAGAAATAAGAAGTGCACTTGCTGCAGGATCTTCGACATCCGCAAAACGTGCAGTTCGCGTGTAGTCCAGGGGGAGGCGCCAAAATTGGGAAGATGGAAAAGGCACTCAGCATTTGGATTGATGATAGCTGTCAAAAAAGAATTTCGTTAGATGGTAATATCATTAAACAAAAAGCACTCAAAATTTTCAAGCACCTGAAAGAACATGGAGAACCTTCTGCCAACTTAGATTTTCTGGTGAGTAAAGATTGGTTCAAAAATTTCAAAAAGCATTTTGCAATTCATAGCATAAGAATTCAAGGAGAATCTGCATTGGCTGATTATGAAGCTGCTAGGACTTTTCCTGAAAAATTTCAAAATATTATAGAAGAACAAGGATACACAACAGTTCAAATTTTCGATGCCGACAAAACTGATGAAACTTTGATGGAACAAAAATGCCCAGTAAAACCTTTATATCAAAAAAAGGAAAAAACTGAATCCTGATTTAAAGTGTCTAAAAATTGTCTAATGCTATTTTTGTACAGTATGACTTTGGACTTTATACAAAACCCTTGTTAGTTTATAGATCTTTAAATCCTTGTGCACTTAGAGGCGTAAATAAAAACAACTTACCGGTATACTGGAAAGCAAATCCAAGAGCTTGGATAGCTGGGAATATAATTAAAGATTGGTTTTTAAATTGTTTTGTGTCAGATGCTGAAAGTTATTTGAGATTCAAAGGGCTTATTACTATTAGATAACGCTCAATGTCACCCACAAGATTTGAATCATCCCAATGTCAAAATACTGTTCCTACCATCTAACATTACTTCGTTACTCCAACCATTGGATCAAGTTATTATTTATACCTTTAAAACATATTACATAAGAAGAGCATTACAGTAGATTTTAGACATAACCGATTCAAAATCGATTAATGTAATGGAAGCTTGGAAGACATTTTCAATTAAGAAATGAATCAACATTGTATCTTTGTTGCTGAAAGAATTGAAAGAATCAATGTTAAACGCTTGTTAGAAGATAGGCCCTCTTCAGTTGAACTAGAAAACATGCGTAAATCATCAGAAAATGTAATTGAATCATATAGAGTTCATACTAAAACTTGCTAAATCAATCCGAGGCAAAGGTTTTGTGAACATGGCTATTGAGGACCTTCAAGATTTATTAGCGGAAGAAGAAATTGATGAAGATGTGATAGAAATGGCATTCAAAGCTGTAAATCAGATCGATTCTGAGAACACTACCACTGATGAAGATTGTGAAGTTAATAATTTAACATTAAAAAACATTTAAAGAAGGCCTATGCTTAGCTGAAAATCTCGAGTTATTTTTCTTGAGTACAGACCCTTCTGCTGAAATAAGCCGAAAATTCAAAAGGGAGCTGCAAAACTGTCTGGCTCTATATCGAGAAATGTAAAATGACCTGGTAAGAACTAGTAAGCAAAATAAAATTTCAGATGTTTTAAAGAGGGAAGAAAATGCCAGAACTTTAAATGAAGAAAGAAATTCTGAAAGTGAAAGTGATCTTATTCCACTTAAAAAAAACGTTCTCTGTTGATTCCTGAGCAATGACAACAAAGAAATTTATTAAACTAAAGTTGCGTTAAATTAAAATATGTAATATTTTTTGTTTTGTGTTGTACATACATATATATTTTTAATAAAAATGAAGTTGTTTATGTATAATCAAAAAAAAAATATTTGTTTTTAATAAGTTTTTGAAATGTAACCCCCCTTTTTTATACTGCCTCTGGGTCCCATACAACATGGTTTCACACAACACGGCATTTTCTAGGAACCTATCTTCCATGTTATACGAGGGTTACCTGTATTTTAATTTCACAAAAGTTCATTCAGAATTCACATAATTGAGTTTGCTCTTGTTTTTTGAGGTTTACAATAGGACTATCAATTTTATTTTCATTATGAAAATTAATTGATTATTTTATTCAGTAACATTTTCTCCTTCTTTTTATAGACATATAGTGATAGTTTCATCTTTAGCCTTTTTAAGCCCTTTTGAAGTTTTTTTTTTTTTTTTTTTTTTTTTTTAATTATGTAAATTTTGTACTATAGGGAATTATGTATATTTTGTACGAGAACATATGGGGAAAAGGAGTGAATTTAATCAGACAATTAAATTAAGTATGTAAAGGAAATTGGATAATTTAAAGTGGTTTAAAGTCTCAGAAGCATTAAATGAAGGTGATTAATAAATTTTTTTTTATTGTTTAGGTTTTATTCAATACAAAATTCCTTTTTTATGGTTTTCTTCTTTGAAATGTAATTTTTGTTTTAAATTTGCCATTTTTTTTATTTGTGTTTTACTATTTTAACTTGTTTCATGGTAATAATAGGTTGGCCTTCAAATATTTATGTATAAATATATGTATAAAATTATTTAATATAGAGTTTTAAATTTATTAATTTTTTTTAAAATTCTGCGGTTGCACAATTCTGATTTTCGCTTCTTCTTGCTTTAAAAAACTCTTCATATTTATGAGTATAATAGGTTCAAGTGAAAGTAGTACTACAGTCAGTTTGAGAAATGGTCTAATGATATTAATATAAATTAATATACAAAAGAAAAACAAGTAATACAGACATAATGGATAGGTTGGAGAAAGTCACCTTGTAGGTTGAAACAAGTGTCCCAGTGCTCAATGGACAATGGACACCCTCGGTGAAGAAGCTTCGAGGTTGGTTGTGGAGCCAATTTTCAACGGCAGCTTGGACCTCATCATCGGCAAATCACCATCTCTTCAGAGATTTCTTAAGTGAACCGAAAATGGGATAGTCACATGGCGAGAGGTCTGGGCTGTAAGGGGGATGTTCGAGTACCTCCCTGCGCATTTGCCATGACAATGTTTACCATGCCACAGCCATAGGAGGATGAGCATTATCATTCAAAATGATAACTCTGCATGACAACATGCCCCGTCGGCAATTCTTGATATTCTGTCTCACTTTCTGCAATTTGGCACAATATGTGGCAACAGTGACGTCGTTCCTGTAGGTTGCCATTCCAACAGTAGTGGGCCATCGACATCAAAGAAGTATATTAACATGACTTAAGGTCTAGTGGATGTGTGAGCCTTCTTTAGGCATGGGCTAAGTTTTGCCATTCCATGCTCGTACTTTTGATGGCTGGATCAAAGTGATGGCGCCATGTTTCAGCTGTGGCAATGATCCTTGAAAGGAGCTGGTTCCCCATTTTGTAGTACCACATAAGATGTTGCATGGAAACAGAATGCAATGAATGTTCTGCTCCTCTACCAAATGTTTTGGCACCCACTGTGCACGAAACCTCTCAGTGTTGCAACTTTCATGCAGTATTGTGTGCACAGTTCCTATGCTCAAACACATTTCCTCCGCTATTTCTAGAGTGATGATTCACCGATTCATTTTCATGAGATGGTTCACATCTGCAACTGCTTCCTCGGTAATCACCACATGTACTTGACTAGGTGGCGGACTGTCATCAGTACTGCTTCTCCCACTATGAAAATCTCTATATCATAGGAATACTAATCTGCATTTCATACATTCCACACCATACACATTTTGCATTCAACAATATATTTCAAAACCACTCACATTTTAAGCTGTTAAAAATTGCACAACCATGCAAATGACACCATTTGGAGGAATCCATAATGCGAACGATGAATTTTAATGTTCGTTGGCATTATGGATTGTGAACGATGCCTTTATACACTATCACAGACGCATCTGGTGGGATCTGACGATATCGCAGGCATTCCCAGCACTCTGTGCCCTCTATAGGGGTATGCACAGTCATCTTTCTATTCAAATGGCAGCTTCATTTAACCCATGATTTATACAAAGGGATGCTTATTTGTGATTTTAATGTTTTGTTTATATCTCAAATAAGAAAAGGTTACATAAAGCAATGCTTATTCATAATTCATAAAATTTGCTTATCTATTTAAAGAATTTGTTTTTATTTAGAGATTATAAATTAAACTTTTGACTTTTTTATCAATATTTGTCATGAGCATTATTAAGTAAATGGAAGACACACAAGTTTTATCATACAAAAATTAAAAAGGCTAGAAAGTTTTAAGCAAAACTCAACTTTTAGAATGTGTTAATAAAGCTAACATGCATATAATCAAGCAAAATTATACGAGAGATGTCAGTGAAAAAAAGCTGATATTCTGTGCATATAAATCAGTAGACACTAGATTGTAAAACTGATGTCACTGAAAAGCTGATATTTCAGAACTTTTCTAAATGCACATCACATTTCACCCACCTTGTCTAATCACTGGATCATGCCATATACATGTGGCATTTTTATACAGTATTTAATCAAGTACCATTATTTATTGTTGCAGATACTATGATCTTGATGGTCATGATCATGATGCCCCCCCAAAAAAGGGGGGAAGAAAGGGGGGAAAATGAAAGAAAGATCGGACACATACAATATGGACAATAGTATTTTTTTTTTAAATTTAATTATGAACACTTTATGACTTAATGCACATGAGTGAGACTTTACAATATAAAAGATGGCAAGCATGTACTGTGAATATCCTGTGTAATTTACAAGTTATCCTGTGTAACCTGAATGAGACTTCTAAACAATTTAATTTACAAAGGGTTGCAGGCATGTATATCTATAGCTATACAACACTTACAGCAAGTTCATGATTCAATTTTTCAACTTCAGATAAATTTTCTGTTGAAGAGCCTTCTTCAGGAGGAGAAGAATAAAACACACTAGCTCCAACTATAGAACCACCATCCCTCGTTCTTCCCCCATTAAGATTAACACCTGCTGCACACCATATCTGCAATACGAAAAAATTAACAAAAATTACTTACAATAAAAATTAGACAACTATGTCTCCAATTAAGTAGTCTAAAACACAAATATTTTGCTTGAAAAATATGATATAACTTTTGGGAAAGGGGTGCAAAAGAGATATCAATATTAAAAAATTACTTCCCATGTTTAGCAATTTCACACCATAACTTTTCTTATATGAATATGTAGAAATGCAAAGAAATATTTTTTTTAAAAAGTTACATTAAAATACATATAGCATTAAATATGCCAAAATTGAAATCTTAATTATTTATGGTAACTTTATCAATACAATTCTGAGTAAAGTGAATTAGAATTGCATATATACTAAAAAAATTTTTTTAATTAAATAAAAAATATAATGCAATAATACAAGCTGAAAGGAATAATGACCACACAATGATAATCTTTTTATTGCTGTGGCTTAGCCTCATAACATAATTCCAATTTAAATAAAAATATTTAAAAAATCTGCATAATGATATTCAGTATCTTCTTTTTGATGGAAATTCTATTCTGATTACTTCACAAAAATGTTTAAATTTACAGACTTTTTCATCAAAATATCCTCTCACAGGAAAAAAGAAAAATTCCACCTTTCACTTCTTGATCAAAAGTTTCTTTTGATTCATGAAATTCAAATCATTTTCTAATAAAAACACTTTCAAGACCACACAAATCCAGTTTTAAATTTTCTCATTATACTGTGACATAATCTGCATAAACGACACCTGATTCGCTCCAGACTATAAAATTAAAAATATATCAAGCATACATACATTGATTTGATAATCTTTCCTTGCATTTCATTTAACAAACTGAATATTTTCATTAAATCACTAACAATGCTGCTGAAAACTACATAGATAACCCTTCTTACAATTTGAAAATGTTCTCTTAAATTAAATCATAAGTAATGATTCACTCATTTCAGATCATAATGCAACTCCATAACTAAAATTCTTATTTCTTTTAATCTAATTGTCACTTAATATCATTTAACTTCTTCCAAAGGGATTTGTTGTAAGTAGAAAGTCAAACTAGACTTTCTACTTAGAAGCTAGATCACTTTCTACAAAATGTTTTGGCAGCTTAATAACTTACATAGTAAATTTAATTATTTCAGTTTTCTATGAAGACAAAATCGCCAAATCATCTTTCTAACTGCAAAACCCAAAGTCAAATTACATTTTTCTAATATGGCTTTGGCAGAATGTTACTTATTTATTTATTTATTTTTTTTTTTAATTATATGGAATCACTTAAGAGCTGTTAAGGAATCCTGGTTAAGAAATGCTGCTATTAAATTAGTGATGCCAATTAATGATCTAGGGTTTGCATGTAGTAGTAAGTCTTTTTTCCCCTTTTTGTCCCCTGCAACTAAGTTAATAAAATTTATTATTATTGTCAAAATTTTATAATATATATATATTCATACTTTTAACTATCTTCATACAAAAATGATTTGAAATAATACCGCAATAATCTTGAAATAATCAACATTTATGAATTCAGAAAATATTCCTAATATTTACTAAACATACTGAATTACCCAAGCTCCAACATAATTGCCTCTTGAGGGTAATACAAAAGTTAGCCATTATGCTGTATGGAATAACCTCTGTAAAGTCACAAATGTTTTTAAAATGTAAATGAGCAAAAGGACCAGTAAACAAAGTGCTCCTCAAATGTTTAAGAACTATAGTTCTTAAAACTTATACACTTAGTTCTTAAAACAATAGCCTTTCACAGTTTCCTCCTTCACAAAAAAAAAAAAAAAAAAAAAAAAAAAAAAAAAAAAAAGGCAACATAAATCAACCTGTTCTTTCATACAAAATGGTATATAAAATATAAAAATATCTTAAAATTTGGATTTAGGTTTATTGTGAAAGATTTATTACAAATGATATAAATAATTTTAAAAACACACATACAGTTGTACTTTTATTTAGCCTACCTTCATGCCTGGCTCCTTGTCCATCAAAGGCCTGCAATAAACAGGAATAGGAACAGGAAAACTAGGATCAAACGTTATAGAGCTTTTAGATTCCATTTCACCATTGCTTTTACCATCACCAATGCCATGAATTGGAAGACTCCAACCATAAGCTTGCATGCGGCCATCCTCTTTCTTGACATGAGCTCGGACTTTCTTGTATTGCTCTTTTCTTTCCCTGGCACGTTGTTGCTGAAGGCGTTCCGATGCTCTAAAATTGAAATCAAATAAATATAACTAAATCAATATCCATTTGTATCATGAAGAATATTACATTTAACACTACAGCAAATCATATACTTTATAACATAACATCCACACATAAATAAAATACACTTAAATTACACACAATTTTCACAATATAACAAAAATGTAATGCAGTCATTTTTTAATATAAGAAGCAACTGCACAAGTTCAAATGCTATCATTAATCAAAAACTAATGTTAGTATTCAAATATAATGTTTCAGTTTTTGGCAAGCTACAGTTAGTATTTTGAAAATGAATCCAAATAATTTATTGGCATAAATTAAAACTGTAATTACATAATAGTTTGTAAGTGCAATATAAAGTTGTGACACACATGCAAGAAAATTTTCATTGTTTTTGAGTGTGTAAAATTCATGCATTAATAGAGTCATAAATCAATTAATGGGGGAAAACAATTTATTTATATTATTATTGTATTATTCAACGAATACAAACAAGATGCACAACAATAAAAAAAGCTAAAACACGCAGGCTACATATTAAGTCAATAAAAGAAAACATTATATCACAAAAGCTCGAGCTGAAAATTAAAATATTCACACAAATATGAATAAAACTACAGATATCACATAAAGCAAATCACAGGGATTTTATCCTACATGCACACATATAATGCAGCTGTTTCCACTGAACTCAGACAGTAAGGTTCAGAGGAATTTTTGTTTTTTTTATGCTTCAATAAAACTCACAAATCGCTATCAAGGAAATCAACACTTTTTCCTTTCTCTCCCAACCTAGTCTTCCGCAATGCATCCAGAGTGGGACTAACATGAACAGTGGGTGAATTGAACAGCATTCCTGAAGATGTTGGAGATTTTCTGATCATCTTCTCTGAAGAACTACTTGAGCTAAACAAACTACTGAAACTGGAAAAATAAATAAAGAATTCAATAACATATCAGAGTTAGAAACAAAAAGATATATATAAGTATATATATATACACAAACAAAAAGAAAAATATATAAGTACATACACACACATTTGTACTCGTACATAACGTATAGTGCCAAAAAAAAAAAAAAGATACATGATATATTTAAATTCTGAAGGCACGGAATTTTTGCAAGTTATTATGTACTGACAATGACAGATTAAACAAAATATTTGAGAGGCAATACTCTAAAATCTTGAAATCGTATTGGCCCAAATAAAAGACAGTATTTATAACCGAAAAATTTAGTGAAACTTATTAGTATTCAGACCAATTAATTTTTTTCTATCTTTGCTTTTTCTTTCTTCCTCTCTCTCTCTCTCTTTTTCCCCCCTTTTGCAAGGTGGCTGCAATTTTCCCTCTGCTTCCAGTTAAAAATCTTTAATTTTTGTTCCTTCAAGACTGAAAACTTTCACCTAGAGATATCTCCATACTCTGAACTCACGCTGAGCTAACAGCTAACAACAATAACTACTGACAGCAGATGCTCTTTCCAGCCTTATATAGTTTTTACCCAGCCGCCGATATATTTCTAGTACTTTCTACTTCTCGAAATTACTGAAAGGCAATATGAGGGTTGAATCATGGTTACAGCTAATATAGTGATCAATAAAATTTATTCAATTTATTGGCAATTTCTCGCCAAATTATTTCTTGCCGATATTATTATTTGGCGATTTCTCACCAAATTTGACGACAAAAAATATTTGCCAAATAGTTGCTAACTTGGCAATATCTCACCAAATTACCGAAATACCCATTTACTCAATGTTAAATGGTTTGCCCCTGTATTCTTATTTCTGGCATAACTTGTCTCTCTTAGATTTTCATGTTACATTACACACTTATCACTCAATTTATATGGTACTCATTTTACACGGTTTAAAAATTAACAGATTTCAAAAACTTGGTAAAAATGTACATTTGGGTGCATATACACACTTAGATATATTTGAAGTCATTTTTGAATCTCATTTCTTTGGTAACACAGGTGGACAACAAGGATGGGGATTTCCCATGTTGTAAAAGGGGAATCCCCGTAGTATGTATATGTATTTCACAATAGTAAAACTATTTGGTTCATGTGAACTAGTGCAGTAAGCAGCTTACTTAATGTATAACAATTTTTTTTTTTACTTGATTTCAATTTATTACAGCAAAAGTAAAACTTATTCATTTTTAACTACATATTTGAAAGTTTACTGGTAAGTTTTCTACACTTATATTTTTTGTGGCATTTTTATAATTTATGTAAATTTTTATAATGCCAAAAGATTTGAAAAAAAATTAAATAAAAAGAAAAGTTATTTCTTTAGAAGCAAAAATTAAAATATTAGATCATCTATGTAATAGAGAAGGAGTAACAAATGTTGCTAAATTTTACTCCATGAATGAAGCCACAATAAGGACAATTAAAAAAAAATGAAGACTCTACTAGAAAATGTGTAGCAGCTAGAACTTGCAGCAGTAAGAGCACAATTTCATATGCATTAGTGATATGGGTAGAAGACGAAAATTTAAAATGGATTCCAATTGATACTGATGCTATTAGAAACAAGGCTTTAAAAATTTATAAAGCACTTAAGAATCGGTCACTGTCGACTTCGTCAGAAAAAAAATTGGTCTCTTTTTCTGCAAATCATGGTTGGTTTGAGAGATTTAAACAAAGATCATTCCATAATCTAAGATTGAAAGATGAAAGTGCATTTGCTGATTCGGATGCAACACATCAGTATCCAGCAAAGTTTTCAGAAATCATTGCCGCCAACTTCTACACTCCTGATCAGATCTTCAATGCTGATGAGTCCGGGTTGTTCTGAAACAATATACCTGAAAGAACCTATTTAGCTAAAACTTCCAAATCAGCTAGTGGTCATAAGGTAGCGAAAAGTTCGTATAAAAATTCTTTTCTATTGCAATGCTTCAGGCAATTATATAATGAAACCACTGGTTATTAACAAATCAAAACCACCACACTCATTTAAAGGAATAATCATAAACAACCTTCTCGTTTATTGGATGGCTCATAAGAAAGCATGGTCACTGCCATGTCGTTCAATCAATGGTTTCATAACATGTTTGTCTCAGATATAAAAAATTATTTAAGTAAAAAGGATTTGCCTTTTAAGGCTCTTCTATTACTTGATAATGTACCTGGTCATTCTCAAGATTTACAACATGAAAATGTAGGAGTTGTCTTTTTACCAAAAAGTACAACTTCCTTATTACAGCCATTAGATCAAGGAATAATCTCGACTTTTAAGGCATTGTATATCAAACAAACCATCAGGTATATTTTAGAACAAATTGAGAATGATGAATATCTTCTTGTTATGGATGCTTGGAAGAAATTTATAATCTTAGATTGTGTTAAGCATGTTGGACTGTCATACACTCAGATTAAACAATCAACACTCAACGTATGCTGGAAAGCAATATGGCCAGATGCTGCTAAAGATGAGAGTGATAGATTACCATTAGAGCATGAATATTCTCAGATCACTAATTGGCCCAAACTATAAGTGGAGAAGGTTTTAGGGATTTAGCTCAGGCAGATATAGTGATTCATGAAACAAATAAACATGATGAAGACAAATGATTCTGATGAAGAGCAATCTGAACCAGTTGCATTCACAGCAAGAGTCCTCAGCCTAGGACTTTAAGAGAAAAAAATCAGGTAATCATTTTTTACAATATGACACGAATGCTGAACGAGCTCTCCAATTCCAACGGGAGCTTAGTAAGTGCTTAAATCAATATGATATACAAAGATTTAGGGGGGAAAACCCTAGGCAATTGTTAATTACGGATTTCACTACAAAATTTTGTTGATCTGAGATCTTCTCTAATTCGTCAACCATTGAAGCAGAATCTTATCAAGAATGCTCAAGTGATGAAAGTGACATCACACTAATAAAGAAGAAAAGACTAATAGTTCATGAAGACAGTGATTTAACTTACAATATTTTTTGAATGATCTTATATTTTCCTAATGTAAAATAAATTAAATATGTACTTCTATTACCTACATATATTTGTTATTTTATGAAGTAAAACGAATATTTATTTTAAGATGTCTTACTTTTATTTTATGTAAACAAATAAATAACTAAATTATGCCCATTTAGTGTGTTTTTCGTTTTACACGGTTAATCGAAGATTAACCATTATGTTTTACATAGCAAAATCCAAGATTCGATTTACACGGTTTTGTGTAGAACCTTTCTTCCTTGTAAATCGAGGGATAGGGAGGAGTACAAAAGAAATACAGCAATTTCACATATAATTACACTAAAATCATCTATCTACTTACAAAATTCATAACAATATTAAAGGAGTTGTGCAATGCACTGAGAATCATAATCATAATAAGGGGACAGCCCGAATCCTCCAGGCCTGCACAGGCCGGTCGTATGATCCAAAAAGTGGGACTGGCCAGAAAATGAACTGAGAACATCAGAGCTTAGGTCAGGTATCTAAATACTATTTCTTTCAAATATCCGTGACTAAAATGTCTTTCCGTTTTCTATGAAGATTATAAATTCAAAGTCAGTACTAGACAAATAATGGAGAAAACTGGTGTAATGTTATGTAAACGGTACACAAAAAAAAAAAAAAAAAAAAAAAAAAAAAAAAAAAAAAAAAATTTTTTTTTTTTTTTTTAAAGATATAAAAATCACCATCTGTTAAGCACAGGTTTCATTAAGCAGTAGGTAAGAAATATAACCACAGAAAATTAAAGAGTGTAAATGCAATCTCTACACATACGTAATAGAGGAGAATTATCACAGCTACTGTTTATTACATTATATCAATTAATACGGTTCACTTTATTCCCTGTTGTACAGCAACTTAACAAATCATAAATTTACTGATGAAAATTGGCAAATAATCTTTAATACTTAATCATACCTTATACATAGCATATAAATAATACAATAAAGAATGCACACTTACAGTATGTATATATTACAGTTAAAATTACTTCAATAAATTTATGAAGAAAAACTAAATCCAAACAGTACTGAATTATCATTTCCCTTCTTTAAAAATCTTAATTTGAAAATTGATAATACGTATTTTCATAGCTCTATACAGATTACAAATCCAGATTCCATTACAAATGTATAAATCACATAAATGTCCATTGAAAATTTATTTCTAAAACTTTTCATGAAATGGAAATGTAAACTATAAATGTAAAATCAAACTTCAGCCAGTAAATAAATTTATTCAGAAAAAGTCAAATCACAGTTTACAGTACACTAACTTCACTTAATATGGGATAGCCAAAATCACTTCTTCAGTCAGTAAACAAAACTATTTTAACTTAAGTGTCACTTTCATCTGATGCAGATGTCAAATGTCTCTTGTTAGAGTCAAATACGAGCCTTTCGAACTTAGAGTACAGTTGGGAAAGTCAGTAAATAGTTTACAGACTGCTGTGAGATAACCAAAAATTTGCCATAAATAGTTTTCAAAAGATATATAGGTAACACAACTATAATTCATACTAAATCAGTGAACAATGTCATTGATAACTATTCACTTGGCAGTATGAAAATGGCTACTGAGTGGGAAGAATGTACATTAAAGGAGTAGTGAAGCATGATGCATAGAAGGGTGAATGTAACTAATACATCATCTTTATTTATGTTATAGCTTTGGACTGCATTACTATTAATTATTTATGACACTTGTTTTTTATTTATCTTATATATAATATGATTCTAATGCAAAATGTATTAATACTTAACTAGATATTCTAAATTTTATGTTCACTGGCTAATTTTGTAATTTGCTTATGCTTTTATATTTGCTTGTTTTTATACTGAGAAAATACTGGGTAGGGAAGGAAAGCTTTCATTTAACAAGGTACTTTTTTTAAATGTGATGAAAATAAAATCAATAATTAATGCACATAGTGCAGTACAAATAAATAATGTACTATTTATTAATGTTAAATACAATTTTAGCATAACTTAGCTAAACCAACTTACAATTTTCTGATGGAAGACTGATTTTTCCTCTGGTCAGAGGATGGATCATTTCTGGATGCCCTTATCATTTCAGTCCACCGAACAGCTTCTTGGAGTTCCATTAATTTTTCTTTATATTGATTTCTTTCCATTAAAACACGAGCCATCTCTACTCTAGTAAAACGCTTTCTTTGTGCTAATGGAATGTCTTCCTAAAACACAAATATCCTATGCTTAAATTATGCTCTGCCAATTCACATCAAGAAACAATTATTTTTGCCCATGATTAATTTCTTCTATCATTAAATAGTAATTCAAAACAAATTTACAATCATGAATCAACCATGTATTTCAGTTGTTACTTGAAAACCTTTTTTTCATAATAAATAATACAAACAGAAAGTGCTTTTTGCTAATTAAAATACAAGATTTTATATGCTGTTATGGCAACCTAATTTTTTTATAAAAACGTGGCTAAACTATGGATTAATAACTTGTGCAATAATTATATTATAAATAACAGAGCATACAATACCTTATGTAGTTTATTTTTCTAACCTGTGAATGGGCTGGCAATGAACCAGGACTTAATGATATTTGAAACTGCATTAAAAATAAAATTTTAAGAAAAAGTTATTTCCCAAATGACAATGTACATTAACCCTTTGACAGGCAGTGGGATGCCAGGCATCCCACCTTTTTTATCGGTTTTTATGTCCCAGATGAAAGCTGCAAAATTTCATTTAAAATACATACAATTATGCCTTTTAGTTTCCTAAATGTATAACAGATGACAATACTAGTATTCATTCATGGAGATAATGTAAAATAAAAATTCTTTGCAGGTCTAATTAAGCAGTTTTTTTTTTTTTTTCTTTTCTTTTCTTATGCAATTTAAATCGTCTGAACAACAACTTTTGGCGTTAGAATGAATATTTTTATCTGAAAGTTTCCTTTTCTAATACAAATTATTATTTGAATTCATTTAGGTTAATTAAAAATGGTTGAAATTAAAAGGTGGGACAAATACGTTTCACCGTGCATGTATGAATCGCTGCTACTAGATGGCAGCACCGTTCAATTTCTTTTTTAATTCAAGTATCATGTTCATTCTATATACTGATAATGCAAATTTATATTTTTTTTATAAATTGCAGTAATGTTAAAACATGAAAAATATTTAGTATTTTTCTGAAAGAAATGAAAATATAACTCTGTAACATGAAATGTCATTGAATACTGAATGGATATGTGAGCATTATTCACCATAGAAAAATATCCTAAGCAGAGGAAAGAGAGGTAAAATGTAAATAAACATGACGGCCTTCTAAATATCTTCCTTTTTAAACCTGTAGCAAATAAAGTACTGGAGCGAAAATCTTCTCTATTTCAAATCTATTATGAAATCAAAATAAGAAGTCGTACAGAGCGATTTTTTTTTTTAATTATGTAATTGTTTTTGAAAAAAATATTTTTTATTTTGCAAATATGATCAATATTTTCTAGGTAATTATTCAATAACATTTTTTATATCTTGCATTTTCATCTGGTCGCTAAAACTAGCACTTTAGATAAGCATGTTAGGAGAATTTATGCTCGGACAAAGATGCCATTTTACTGCTCTAGATGCGCAGTGGGACAAGCGGTCCCTTCAAGCAGCAAAAATCCCAAATGGAAGGGGGGATTCTTGGAATTCACTGAAAGATAAAATTTTCCAAGCTTTCAGAATTTCCTAGTTGGCAACAAAAGGTGATAGGAATTTCCAAGTCTTCCTTTATGTACAAAACATAGTTGCACCTATGAAGTAAAGTAATCCAAATTCCGATAATTTTGATTTATGCTTAAGAACTTTAAAACATATGTTGTTCAAATTCTGATACCTTTGATCTATGCTTAAGAAATTAAAAACATATGTTGTTCAAATTTCAATACCTTTGATCTATGATTAAGAGCTTAAAAAACATATGTCATTTGTCTCTTTGTTCAATGCATTTTGATTTCTAATTGTACCAAAACAAAAGAAGGGAATGCTCTTTACATTAAATGATAAGGAAAAAAAAAATTTTTTTTTAACTCATTCAGGATGTTGGGGTTTTAATTTTTGAATTTAATAGTTAAAAAAATCCAAAAGGTTTCAGATTTTAAATTACATCCAAAGGGGCTTTTTTTTTAACATTTTGTGTGTTACCTTTATTTATTAAATATCATGTTCTTTGCACTTAAACCATAAAATTCAATTCAATAGCAATGTTGCAAAATAACTTTAAAATGAACATACCTTTAGAATTTCCGATACACAGTTCCGCGTGCTAGAGATAAAAAGGTTCCCCCCCCCTCTAGAGTGTTGCCATTGCTCGCTTTTAAATCATTAAGTTTGTTAATCAAAATTTCGTTAAAGTTTTACAAAATATGAAATCGGAAATTTGGTCTTCCACATGCTCATATTCGTAGGAGGATTACATGATTCAAAATTCGATGGCTCTGTGACCGTTGTTTTATCACAATGCAAGAAATATAGATACATTTATGCAGATTTTTCATTAATTTCTTCAAATATAATGCAGAACTCTAGCATTTGGTGGCAACAGTCTAAAAAAAGATTCACCATTTATAGTGATTCAATGCAAAATCGCAAAACGAAAACAATAGTCCTTCAGGGACAAAACAGCTTTGGACTAAGAAGTTATGCCTGAATTTTGAATAAGATCCAAAAAGTACAAGATTAGCTTTACTGGATTTCTATGAAAAAGCAAATAACAGTTATTAATTTTTTCAAGTTCCTAATTTAAAAAGGTGACTGACTGTATATAACATTCATTTAAAGGGAATGCTCATTTACATAATCATGATCTTATGACCTTTCTAAGCAGTCCATACAAGCCTGCCAAATCAAAGATTGACCATATATACAGACAGAGCCACTAAGCATAAAATAATATCCATGTTCTTATACAACTATTAAGCTTTTAAACACAATGGTTCACAATACACTAATCAAAATTGCTAGTTTTAATTGCAATGACATAATAAAATTACCTTAATTGAATTTTATAAAATTCAGGCTCAGTATGTATTTAAACATGAAACTGAAAAATATTATTTAAAAACTATGTAGATATTTGATGTTTAAGTGCCAGATTATTAACCCCTTCGCGCCGACTGTCACGTATACGTGCCAGCAACGAACGCACTTACCTACCGGCCGACACGCAGGCGTGCCAGAGGATTGTTCCATTCTCTACCGACTGTCACGTATTTGTGCCAGTACCTTGGAACGTTTTTCAAACTATAATTTCTGCCACAAGATGGCACTGTATGTCCATATGGTTTCAGATACATGTAAATTAGACCTTCTACTCGAAATGAGAGAAGCATGACTCACATACACATGTTTTTGATTATATAAACAAACGGGGAAATAAATGTTTCCGAATGGCGTGATTTATGACATATCTTTAAATCGCACTTTATTCGCACATGGTAGTTGTTTACTGTAAGTACAGAAGTTTTATTTGCTCTAAAGCATTGGGTATTTCAGTTTGCAGTTCAGTTTTTAGAAAATAATTAGATCTTGTTAGACGTGAATTCTTTGTTTTTACCGGTGCAATGTCGAAGCGTCGAAAATGTTTAACAGAGCATGAAATAGCAGAAATGATCCAAAATATTTCAGATATTGATTCTGAAATTCTGATATTCTGATATTGATTCTGAAAGATTAACTGAAAGACATTTTCCAAAACTTTGTTCAGAAGAGACTGATAAGAAAATGAGACGACGATGCTTCGTTTGTTCACATTCCCGGAAAAATCCTCTAAAACGGCAAATGAGTTATTACGAGTGCAAGGAATGTAATGTAGGACTGTGTGTAGATCCCTGTTTTCAAATTTTTCATACGAAAAGAGAATTTTAAGTAATATATTTAGTTTTCAGATGTATAATGTTAAAATTCATAAAATGGTGAGTAATTAAAATAAAATGTGTAAAATATGCATTTAAACAAGAAATAAGGTAATTAAAGTATATATATAAAAATATTTATAAAGCATAAGCCGTTTAAATACTGTATAGAGCATTATTAAACAATGCGTTGATACTTCGGAAATTTCATGGATTTAGGCTTAGTAGCAAAAAGCCCCCGGCCCTGGAGAGACGCTCGCGTAAGACACTGCTGGCCTCAGCGATAAGCGCACGTTTTCGCTACCCGGCTCGAAGGGGTTAAGAAAGCACTATAGATAAATGTTTTGCTACTACTTACATATCTGAAATAATAATGCTATTTTAATACAAAACTACCTCTTCTTCAAATTTAGCTTTAGTTTTCTCAGCTTCTTCCTTCGTTTTCTTCAGTTCGTCCTCCAAATCAAAGACTCGCTGTTTTAAACGTTCTTTTACCGCTTGGAGGGACTTGATTTCCCCTTGCAGAATTTCCATTTCACTGAAATGTTCATTTAAAGAGTTAAAATGCATTAAAAGATTTCAAAAGAAATGTAATAATTTATCAAAATTATATATCATAAATACTCAAATCTTCTTTCATACATAAAATGAAAGGGAAAAAAACTAAGGCAAAAGACTTAATTTTAAAAGAAATTTTAATGGCACAGATTTCTATACAGACACTCCTGACTTTATGAACTTTTGCAGATACAAACACAAACCTGTTTCCCAGAATTGAAATTGAGTGAAATTTGTTTTACTCAAAAAGAAAATAAACGGCTGTTCATGATGTCATACACTGCTGTCACCTTATTTATGATGAAAGAAAAAGACATTTTTTCCTTATGTAATCCACTTTCTTCACTAATTCACTTCAGAAAATGATGTAGCTCCTCCAACTAACATATCAACTCTTTCTATCTATCATATAGCTGCCTCATCACAAATATTCACTTATTGATGAGTCTTTACATGGCAAGTAAGACACTGACTTGCCCTCACCCATATAAATGTCTACTAGCCTCATCCTCATCCCATTTACACATGTCCTCAAAGAAAACTTAATACTATACAGTAAAGTATAATTCTTCATTTATTTATAATGTACTGTTTTTAAATTTTTTATTTTTCTTAGTACTTTTATTGTTTGATAGTAATTATAGCTTATATTTTCCAAAAGACATTACGAAACATGTGTAACAAACCTAGTAGCATTTTACAAATGCGTGATACAAAGCAATCATTGCGAATGAAACTGTCAAATGGAATATTTGTATTTATGGTTTTTATAACAAATGTAATTTTTATGCACTTCATTTTAGTGGCAAAAATCATCTAGTAATATACAAATCACTTTGAGTGGAATATAAATGTTGTCATCAAAATAAATTCAAAAATTAACTTTTTTGTAAAGTTCTTGATAAGTAACAAGAAAGAAAATCTTCAAATAATTAGAGACTTTGATATGAAATTACAGTACAAAAATAAAAACTGAATCTTAATTCCATTAATTATTTTTGCTACCACAGTCAATATACATAATATTTGTTTTCACTAATGTAATTAAGATTCTAAATTAACTTAAGACTATGTAACAAAACAGTGCTGTCCTGTTATCAAGACCAGATTCAGAAATATATGTATGCACATATGGATGAATATATGCATTTGTGTATGCATATATATATGTACATACGTATGTATGTGTGTATACATACACACATTTCTGAATCCGGCCCCAATAACAGTAAAGTACCAATAAAACATGCTTAAATATTGATGTTGATTACAGAATTCACAGAGCTCCAACTTCAAACACTAGGCCAAGGATTATTCCATAATTATATTATTTACCTTTTTCTTTATGCAACACCAATATAATACCTGAATCGAATTATATTATAAATAAGGCACATCAATAATTCTTTCAAAACTATATTCATATTATTTTATACATAAAATTTTTAAAACCAAATTCGAAAATTTCATTTAGAATATTGTGAATTTAAGTAGAATATACTGTATAAATTATATAATATATTTGGTAAACTCAATAAATGATGAAGCAGAGGAAATTTCAATGAAACTCAAAAGTATTGTCCACACTGCATAATCTCATTGTGACACTAATCGCAGAATGCCATGCTCATAAAAAACTTCTGGCTGCTTTTCAACCAGCTGCACACACACTCCTTGACTTCATCATCCATTTGAAACTGCTGCCCATGCAATGCTTTTTGAGCTCACCAAAGATGTTTACTTCACATGGGAACAGAACAGTGGGTGAGTTAGGACTTTCCATTTGAACTTTTGCAGAAGTTCTTTTGTTGCCTTGGCTGTGTGTGGTAAAGCATTGTTGTGTAACAAAATGACACCACAAGAAAGTTTACTGGAATGTTTTGATTGCCTTTCTACGTTTCGTTAACATTTCAAAATACTGCTAACATTGACTGTAGGTCCGTGCTTCAGGAATTCAATAAGCAGTGGCCCCTTGCAATTGAAGAAGAACAAAAGAATTATTTTGCCATTTGGTTCTTGAACTTTTCTGATAGAGGGGAATCTGTGCTCTTCCACTGCAAACTTTGCTATTTCAAATCGGGCTGAAACTAGTGGCACCAACTGTCATCATCAGTAACAAATGCTGAGAGAAAGTTGCCTTCACAGTCGCTGTTACGCTACAGCAATTTCAGAGATATGGCCATGCGACAGGCCTGTTACTCTGGTTACTGGTGGGGGACCCATTGCATGCACACTGCAGAATTTCAATGTATCCACAATGATTGCATGAACCATACCATGGCTAATCTGTACTGCTGTAGAAATGTCATCTACTGTTACATGACGGGCTTTCTTGATGTGCTCATCCACTTTTCTATCATTTTGGTCTGTGACACACTCCAGTGCTCCACTCTGTGTGTCATTTCCAAGTGACATGCATGCTTTGTGAAAGCGCTTGCTCCCCTCCTGAACTCTTGACAGAAACATACAGTGTTTCACACAAATCCTTTCCATTCGTCGATGGCTTTCACACCTTTTTACAACTTCCACTATCAAAAAGTGCACAACACACCAGTTCTTTCTTCAGATGCCTCCATTCTAAGTCATTTTCAGAGATGGAATTAATGGACTTGGAAGCTGCTTGGTTATCATGCTTTTATCATTGCTTCCATCACACTACTGCCACCTAACAAGTGAAAAGAATGTGAATTTCTTTTTTTCACACCAGAAATGAGATTGCAGGTCCATCTCCATTTTTCTAAATATCCTAGGTTTGGTTTAATATCATCTGTCTCATCATTTATAGACTAAACCTCATATATTAAAAAAGAGACAGCAGACAAAGAAGCTGGCATAAATCATGTTAAAACTCCAAATGAACAATTAATTTTAAAAAGTCAATTATGAAATTAAAGCAATTAAAAAACAACTTTAATTTCAAACCGAACATAAGTGGAAAAACATTCTAAGAGAAAAGATTATTGAAAATAACTAATAAAATTAGCAATAATAAACATAAATTTATATACCTTGTTAATTCATCAACTTTTGCAATGAGATCATCCTTCACAATATTTAAAGCATTCCTATAAAATTACAATTTAAAACAATGAAACTTTAGTTACAAGGGAATTTCATGTTAAGCACGATAAAAAGGAATATATAGAAGGGGAAATTGAAGAGGACTACATTTTTTTTAATTACAAAGCAAAACATTTTAACTGCAGCATGCATTCACAAATAAATTTTATCAAGCTGAAATGATGGAAAAGAAACAAATATTTACTTTGTGGCTAGCAATTCGTTATTTTCTAAAATTAAATTTTCTACTTCTTTGCCCATTCCTAAAAAATGTAAGGAAGCTTGTATTAATTATACAATATGTAGAATAGCAAATACATAAAAATTGAACATCCTTAATACAAAATACTCTGAAACCTATCACATCTTTCCTCTCACATAGCAGGCAGTTGATTAAGGTAGAATTATGACTTACTGGGGAAAAACCATACATAAACCATTTTCCATATTATAGATGCTTTTTGACTTCCTCTGATTTTTTACCATGGGCTCTCTTAATGCAAAATTTTATGGATTACCAGGTTAGATTAGATTATTTAAATAGGACAAAGTGCTCAAAGACTATTTGCCTAAGGGAAGGGAAAATCTTCCTGGAAAATTCTGTATGGAAAACTGGCTCATATTCACATTATATATAGCAAAAACCACCATGTAGTCAGTCTATTCACAAGGTTTCCAACCCAGACTGAATAATCAGTATTCAACGTTCTAACTCTCAGGCACTATAGGGCTAAATTCTCTAAATAAATTTAAGTCATAAGGTGTACACAAAAATCCTTTAAAGAAGACACTTTTTTTACTAGAAAAAGAATTATAAAAGCTATTTGCTAACTTCAATAATTGCATATTCCAAGAACTTACACAGATTGTTTACATATTTGGAAAATTCCAAACAGCTATACATATTTCATTTAGATATTTTTCTATCCATTTTAAAATCTTATGAATATAAAGTTTAGCTTGGAATGTATATTGCATATTTGACAAAAAGCTGTGATCCTTACCACAGTTTTGATGTAGGCAGGGAGACTTTTTATATGCTTAAGTTCTCTCTTACTTTTGAAGGTAAATTACATATTACTGCCAAGACTTCTTTAATTAATAAATCCTATAAAGATCACTGTCAAGCGTCAAGCAATTAGTAAATACTACATAAAATTTCATTTTTATTTCAACAGGATCTAGATTTTAACTCTATCTTTTAGTGTTCCTCTACACAAGGTAAATAAATACATGTGTACTCTTTGACTGCTGCATTTATATTCCTGCATGACAAATAATTTTACACTTTCATAAAACAGATAATTTTTTTAAAAAAACTATTTAAATGTTTTAATAGTTTTTGAATTCCAACAGGCTTACATGACAAATAATTTTATACTTTAATAAAACAGATGATTAAAAAAAAAACACTTGAATGTTTACAGTAGTTTTTGAATTCCAATATACTCTGTATAATAAAATATAGAAGATTTTTAAATTCTAAATATCTCTGTCTCTATGAATTTTGGATTAAGGATATGCAACCTGTAAGTAATTGCTCAGCAAATTATCAAGCAAAATGGAAAAAAATTTCTTTTTTTACAACATTGCTTATCACTTACTCATTCCTAAAAGGGGCAAAGAACTTGTTCTCTGCTACTTTCAAACATTGATACATGTAACATAAATATTGTACTTATTATACACTTTCTTTGTTATGCTTATGTTAACCTATATTTTATATTAGATAACATTCCTTCCTAAATTACAAGTATCTCATAATTTCACGTACATTATTCCTGATTTCATACTACCACTGATAGAAGTTTAAATAGGTTTTAAGGAACTACCTTTAGAATCCCTCTATCTGTCATCTACCTCTTGATCTATCTGCCTATATGTATACTATAATTTTCAAATTAATTAGGGCAAAGAGATTTTTTTTCAAAGAATTTGGTCGCCAGCTGCTCCCTCAAAGCAGTTTCATTCGAATTAATGTTATCTCGATGTCTGCTTTCAACTACTTAGAACGTGTTTGAATTAGGATTATTTCGATACTTTTAAGCTTTTTTCTGTAAGGAAGAGGAAATTACTTTGGCATACTATTTTAATACTTTTTCATTCATTTATTTTAGTACACTAAAAATGGACACAACACCTAGAAATAGAGCAAACATTATTCCACTTAACAGTCACATATGCATGACTGTAAAAAGTACTACTTTCACAGTTTATGTTGGAAAATTGAGTGCTTCTAAAATTTTGAGAAGATGCAATGAAACTGGATTATTTTCTCCAGAAAAGAAGCGCAAATATGAAACCGAAATGAAAACAATTTCAAAATCTGATTGATTTCTTCTCCAAAACAGTATTATTACTAAAACAAATACTAACAAAGACCTTAAAAGTGATATAGTGTCTATTAGTATCCATATTCATCCTTCAAATGTGTGGCATATATTTCTCACTGCTGGTGAAAAGCGAATTAAAAAAAACAATTTTTGATGCGTCAAATGAAGCAAAAACAATTATTGTGGGTCAAAAATATAAATCTTCTCAAATAGCTGGGAAAAGGTCATTTTTTGTGATGAGACTCATTTGTTAATTCACAGTTACAAATCTAACACTGTTAGATGAAGCAAGAATGAATCAATAAGACCTCAACATATCCAACAAACCATAAAATAGCCTCAAAAATAAATGCTTTGGGATTCTTTCACTGCAGATGGCAACAGAAATCTAGCCCTTATTGATGGAATGATGAATTTATTGAATTGAATAGAAATTTTTAAACATAGGTTTGTGCCATTCTTGAAAACCTCTGCAGGGATATTTCAGCATGACTTGGTTTCATGCCACAATTCAAACTCTGTCAGAACATTCCTGTCAGAAAACAAAATTATTGTGCTAAATTGATATGGATATTCACCAGACTTAAATCAAATCAAAAATTTGTGACACATTCTCAAAGAACATCTTAGTAAAATGGATTGTGCAACAAAAGAGCATGATTACAAATGCTATAGATGTGTGGTTCCATGATAAAGATGTAAAATATATATGCACAAGTCTAGAGTTAATGCCTAAGAGAATTCTGGAGGTTATTTGTGCTTAAGAAAGACATATTTTCTATTAATTTTATTATTTTCACTGTACATGAAGCTATGCATGCAAATAATTTTAAATCACTTTGTCCCAATTCATTTGCACACTATAGTATATATACTATACAAGAAAAGGAATTAAGAAAAATCTTTAAGAATAAATACTATCTAAATACTACTATTTTTATTGCATTTTGTAAAACTTTGTAAGGTTATGATTTTGATATTTAATATTATTATTTTGTTGGGATTTATATTTATTTTGAATTAACCAGTTAAATTTAAGTTTACATTCGTTCCTATAAGCCTCCATTCCCTTAATTGACAATGCCAGAATATTTAAATTTGGTAGCACACGTGAAGAAATGCAAATTCTACCTTGAGGAGAAAAGGTTTAAATACAGAGTTTTAGAAGGTAAAGTTAGAGAGTGAGAGCAAAGCACTGTACCTTGGTAGCATGAGCTTCTGATTCTGCATTTATTGCTAGTTAAAGTGGCATAACAGCAATTACTTTGCTGCCACTAGATTTCGACGGTTTTTTAGATAACAGGACTATCTGAGCCCTGTAAAGTAATTCTACTGCTTGTTAATATCTTTGAATTTTTAGTTTAGTTCTTGAGTTTATTCTTTTAGTTTAGTTTTTAGTTTAATCTTGTTACTTCCCAAGAGAGGCGTAGTTTGTTAATATCAAGTTGATGCACTGTGATTTTTAAATATTTTTAATAAAGGGTTCTTTTAATCCTTTTCCTGTGTGGCTCCTACATATACTTCAGCTGTCACATCAGAAGATAAACAAGTAGATATTACAATTTAATATTATATATATATTTAACAAATATTCTCTATTTGTATAAAGCTAATTTAAAGTTAATTTAAATTTAAATTTTAAATTATGAAATTTTAATTGCCTACAAATAAAAGATATATTTTTTCATGGTTTATATACTTGCACTTAATTTACATATGCTGTCAGAATTTAAATGATATTGTAAATTACTTTGCAGCAATAATTAATCTTTTATTTGTATGCAATTAAAATTTCATAATTTAAAATTAAAATTTAAATTTAAATTAGCATTATACGAATAGAGAATATTTGTTAAATTCAAACTTCATTCCTTTTCCTTGCAGAAATGGTGCAAGAGAATTACTTAAATTTAATCACTTTACTATTTATATATATATATATATACATATTTATATATAGTACACACCACTTTTTAAAATCACTTGCATTGCAAACATTTTTGAGTTACTAAGTGGCTGAATTTAATAGAAGGGAATTTGTGTGATATGAGTTTCAAACTTTTCAAGTAAAATAATAACTAACAACAAATTCAATAATTAATCCTAAAAGAATAATTAAAAATTAATGTCGTCAAAATTGAACTGCTTAACAAATTTTAAAATTCAATTTTTTAAATTTAAAAAAAAAACAGTTTTATAATTATGTTTTTGATGAAATTTAATCTCTTAACAACCATCATATCTGTGTCTTTTTCATATTGTTCAATGACAGTTTTCAATTACGTTCTCAGTTTTATAAATATAGCTTTATTATTATAGCTTTTTTGATAAGCACTTTTCAGTACAAGAATATTTCTTAGAGTTTGCTATGCTTCCTTAGAATTTACTGATACTGGCATATCATCACTTTTTTTTGTATCACCTATGCTCTTATATATATATATATATATATATATATAAAATACTTTTCATAGACAGTTTTAATACATGCTGTACTAATATTTTTGCAATTTGATGCATATTATAAAAGTAACTTAACATATTTATAAATAACTTAAGACTTTTCACTTGGCATTTTGACAAAAAAAAGTAAATATATTAAACTGATGTTATTCCATTTTTTTATGATGCTATAGACTGACCTTCCTCTTATTCTTTCATTTTATTTTTATTTTTATGTGTCATCTATGTCTTTTATGTGTCTAATTAACACGATAATTATATCTGTTATATTTGTGTATTTTCATAATTAAATTACTAAATCCTACAATCATAGTCATCTAAGACTGTTGCTTTAGTTCGGATGTACACTACGCAAAAAAAAAGGGGGGGACAAATCTATATCTCCCATTCTACTGGGCCGATTGACAAAATTCAACTTGCATTCTTCGTGTCTTGAAAGCACAACTTAGGATATGTATTAGATTTATATATATAGCATTGTTCTAATATAAATATTTTAACACAAAGTAGACTTTTTCTGAAATGGCATGCCAATTTTTTTTTCTCATATTTTGACTCTACAACTCAGATTATGCCAAACTGCCGAGTTTTGTGAAAATCACATGAGTAGTTTTTAAAAAATTAGCCCTCAAAATTTTAGCTCCTTAATATTTATTGAATTCGATATATATTTATTGATATCTCTTTTCTTATTAAACTTACTTGCTTCTTCCTTTCACATTTTGAAATTTAGGTTCATTCCAAATAAAATTCGCCCATTTTTTATGATTTATTTTAAAAATTTGTATTTTTAAATAATTTTTATAATTTTTTAAAAAAAATTTTGAATTATAATTTATACAATTTTTGAATTATAATTTATACAATTTTTACTTTCATTTTAAAGTAGATGTATTTCTACGCTTACCCGCAAAAAATTACAGTTTTTATTCAAAATTTTCAAAGACATACATGAATTTATATATTGGCATATTTGTTGAAAATGATAATAATGTCAAATGTAGTTTAGGCACTTTGTTAAAATTATTTGAAAGTAGGAATGATGCGACTTTTTTTCTGCTCCTGCACAAGGGAAGGGAAAGGGAAATAGGTTGCCATATATTAAGAAGTTCACCGAGTGATTTATTCTTGGCGCAACTGAAAAAAATGCACCAAGGTAAATTTTTTAATTTCTCCGTAAATTTGACACCAAATTTTACAAAATTAATATTTAGGCATAATTTGAGTCATAGAATCGAAATATGGAAAAAAATTGGTCTGTTATTTCAGAAGTCCCATTTTTGTGTCAAAATATCTATGTCAGAACAATATTACATATAAATCTAATATATATCCTAAGTTGCATTTTCGAGACATGAAAAACACAATTTGAATTTCATCAATCAGCCCAGTAGAATGAGAGATATAGAACTTCTGGCGGGAAATTCATCCCCAAAGGATATTGTTGCAAAAGCAAACATTACTCACATGCCAGATGAATCTTTATGTAAACAAATGGAGGAGAAAACATGTCTTGATACCTTGCCTGGAAATTTATTACTTCCGGCTAATAACCAGCATGCTCAGTGTGTTTCTTTCCAGTGTTTTGGTCTGAAAGACACCATCGACCTGATTAAATCCTTTTCCTCTTGTGATAATTACAATGTTGAGACTTTAATTTTGGATAATGAACACATTTTTAACATCTATCAGATAACAAGCCCCGTTCACCAAGTCATTTTTTTTTTAAAAATGTCTAATGGATCAAACTTTAAATTTAAAAAAATCAATTCATGAATTTACTAGTTGGGAACAATTAAAACACCATTTGTTAGACGAACTTTCGGGTAAAATTAATAGCCTTCAATTACATCAAATAATGGAATCTTGTTATTCGAAACTTTAGAAGAATATTTTTAACCATGAGAGATCTCTAAAAGTTCTATTGATGATTCTCCTCTGATTGAGTATGTTATAAATGGTATTTCCGATTTATCAAAAAATAAAAGAACTTTATACAGCTGTAAGTCCATTCCTGAATTTTAAAAAAAACTGAATATATACAAAAACCTCCTTTACCAGTTCAAAGCAATTGAGGCAAAATACTTAGAAGAAATTTCATAATTCCCTTCACAATGTTAAACTTGATAATAAACATACATCAAACACGTAACCAGTATGCTATTCCTGTGTTTTAAAAGAGCATAAAAGCGTCAATTGCCTGAATAAATCAAATGGCAAATTTTCTTATGGATGCAAAAATTATGGTCATGTTCATGTCAACTGTCCAAAAATCCTCGTAGTTCTACCACGGAATCCGATCCTAAACATTCTACACCTGACATAACTGTATATGCACTTTCTGCTCAAACTTTATCTATACATTCTATGCATGTTGACATTCAACTTGCAGGAACCCCATTAACCACTTTTTGTGACAATGGGTCACAAGCTACTTTTATTAATGAGAAAACATGTTGCAAGATTGGTTCTCCAGCATTACATCCCTCTAAAATTACGTTCTCAGGGATTTGCCGAGACACAGTTTAAGGCATTGGATTCTTTCAAGACTCCCTTGAAATTCAAAACACTATTTTACCTGCCGAAATCCATGTAGTAAAAGATAACATGATTCCTCTTGATGGGATTATTGGAATCGATGTTTTGCAACAAACTCAAGTTACATTTGATAAAGACTGTATTCATTTATGCAACAGTAATGATGAACTTTTGGTTAACATTGCTAATATTACAGATGATCAACCCTTTACATTTGATCTTTCACACATCTCGAGCTCTGAAATTCGGAAGAAAGCTCAACATATCATTACTTCTTACAAACCATATAAAGTTAATAATGCTATAAAAGATTTTAAAGGAATTAGAGAAAATGAAAATCAGTTGAAGAAAACAGTTAAGGATGAAAATGATAACGAAGATGATGATGAAGACGATTTGGATTTGGGTGACCATGGCATGGATGAAGATGATGATGGCAATCATGTAGCTGATGATGATGATGTTGATGATGAACAAAGGGTTTTAAATACTGAAGAAGCTGAATAATTTAAAACAAGGTTTACAAAAATTGCTGAACAACTAAAAGAGAAAATGCCTGCTAAAAGTGCAAAAACATCCCAACAAAAGAAACCAGAGAAAACTCTGAAGGCGGAAAAAGACTCCAAAACCTGAAAAAGGAGCTTTTTACGGAAGGTTCTTGATGATGAAGCAAGAAAAAGAGAAAGAAATGCCAGAACTCTCTATCTGGAAACTTTACCTAGTGCTATCACTAGAGAAATCAAAGCTTTGTATTCTGATATTTTAGATGTTGCTGTGCCGAAAAAAGATGCAAAGAAACAAAAAGTATTATCATTTTAAGAACTTAATAGTGAAGCTGAAGCTGAGGAAAATCACAAGGTCTTGCAGAAGAAAAAATTCAAGATCAGACTGTTATATTTTGCTTGTGTGAAAAGTAAAAATATACCAAAAGCAGCAAAGGGACAGGAAGAAAAGATATGGAAATTATTTGTCTCTGGCATTCCAGTTGATACTACAATTTCTCAAATTATTGAATTTTTTTCCAAAAGCATCTCATATAACTCTAAATTTATCACCTATATATTGAAATGCTACCATAAGTTACATACAGGAAAAAGATGCAGCTGAAGCTATTGAGGCAACAAAGAATGCTGAAATAGCTGGGAAAAAAATTACTATTTTATATTCTTTAGCTGCTTCATGCCCAAAAAAAGGTAAGAAAAGGAGCTGGAAGCATAAACAAAGAAGATCTGATGAGGAACACCAACAATGGATTATTGATGAAAAAGATGCATTACATATTAAAGCTAAATGGAAAATACCCTGTTTACAGCAAGAAAATTTATGACAATATAAGAAATGTTGCAAACTTGCCTGTAAATACAAGCTCAGAGACCAAAAGGCAATACAGCGCATCCAGTTTGGACCTGGACTGAAACTTCAGCCCAAATTCTTTGGTCCTTATGAGATAAGGAAAGTTCATCCATCTGATCGTTACAAAGTATGAAAGATAGGCTGCCATGAGAACCCCCACCAAAATGTCACCCACTGCTTATAAGATGAAACAATGGTGCACAAACTGAACATTCGCCACCAAGACATTGACTTTTTTTTTCACTTTTATTGCTTATTTTGTTTTGTCTTTTCAGATCTCTTGTCTACTTAAACCATGCATGGACGTCTGGTGCTGCAGAATGGCCATGTTGTGATATGCTTCTTTTATAAGTCAGAATGGCAATGTACTCACCAGCAAGATCATATGACCACTTCTCAGAGAGACATGAGAGAGGAGAAACAATGAGGTTTATAAAATTGAAAGAAAACTGAATTATGATTATTATGATATTATTCCATTTTTCACGATGCTATGGACGGACCTTTCTCTTCTTATTTCTTTTTATTTTTATGAGCTACTTTTGTGTTAATTACATCTGTTATGTTCACGCATTTTCGTAATTAAATTACTAAATGTTACTACCGTCGTTTTCTAATGCTGTTGCTATAGTTCAAATGTACAACTACATTTTACATATATGGTTAGTTTTATATGCAGGCACACATAAGGCGGAGAGAAAGAAAAAGACTGATATTAGTAAACAATAACTTTAAACTCAAATTCTTGTATACATAAAATTTTCTGCATTAAAAAACAAATTGAGGCACATGGGATCAGAAAATTTTCATTTTGTTCATAGCTTTTTATGCTAATTTTCTTCTCTCATTGGAAACCAAAATATTGATGAAATCAGAGATGTGAAAACAAAAATAAATTCCTAAGTATGCATATTAACACTCTGGTCATACGGACTAGAATATTTTTTGTAATGTCCTTGAGATAGTAAATATAAGTGCATCTTTAAATATATCCATGAAATTAAGGCAATATACTAAAAGTACATAAAGTAATGGGCATTTAAGATTAAAATCAAGAAGATACCTTTCTCGTAGTAATTTTGGGAAATTTGGGCTTTCTTAGCAAAATCCTGTGCCAGTCAGAGGGTTAATGAATTGTTCTATTTATTTATTTATTTATTAAAAAATTCTTTTTTTAATCTTATTTTACATTTTTGCAGAATAATAAAAAATAATTTTAAAAAGATAATGATATAATTAAATTATTATTAAAAACAGTGCATATATAAAAAAGCCATACCATTTAATATTCAAAATAATCACATTTCTAATATTTACAATAAAAACATAATCAGGAATTGCTAAAAAACTGATGATTTGCATTATTAATTAGTTGCAACACATAACAAAAATTATAATAAATTCATTTCAAATTGTTAGTATTTTATACACAAATATAAAATTTCTTACCAAAGAAACTGTCAGGAGCTGGAGGTATACGCAAAATTCATTAAAAAATTAAAATAAATAGTTAGTAAAGTATCTAAAAAGTTAGAAAGCACACATGTTAGAAAGTTGCAAGTTGTATGATTAGATATTTAAAAACAAAAAACAGCTCATATACATCAGAAACACAGTAGTTTAATATGAGTAAAATGTAAGTATTAAAATGTTAAAAACATAATTTTATAAAATTATTGACAAACAAAGCTGAGAAAAAATAAGACAGTCACATTCAATATTTAAAAAAGGGGAAAAACCCTAAAGCTAATTTTAAGTTAAAAAAAAATATTATTATTAATAATAGTTTAGTTATGTTAAGACCTGACAGAAGATTACTATTTTTACAAGCAAATGCATAATTAATATGGGAGAGAAAATACCAGCTATGTCATTCGCATCATCTCCTTCTGGTAAATTTTCAGATTCTTGGAAACTGAGCTCTTGATACAGAGTATTTGGTCGCCTTTTCTCACTAAAAATTAAAGAAAAATTGTGTTGTAAAAAATATTTACATTACTATCTGCAGTACTTAAAGTAGGATATAGAAATTATTTTAAATATATAGCAGTATTTATTTGATGGTTTCAATTCATATGATTGATATGTTTTCAAAGTATATTGAACCATATTCATCATTTGAACTGAATCCAAAAACACACACACAAAAAAAAAAAAAACTTGAATGAATATTTCTATGATAAAAACCGATATGTGAGACATACACAATTTATAAAAAAACATCCTACGTAAAAAATATTACATCTAGAAAGATAATAAATTTCATATCAATATATCTTCAGACAACCAAGTTGGTCTAACTGATGAACCACTATGCATGAATGTAAGAATAGCAGCATAGCCAGATAATGTTAAAAATAGTTCATCAAAGTATTCATAACTATCGTAAGAGTATGACAAACCCAAGCAGTGAAGATCATGTGATAGTGCAAGTTATCATATATAACTGACATCTCAGAATAACTAATTCATACAGATCTCCTAGTCATGAAGCACCATGCAAGAAAGATAATTACTGTATTCTTGGTATCTGTTATGATGGCTGCACTTCACTGTTAGTGATAGACAACTTCAGGTTAGAGGCAGATATCTGTTATGTCTAGTGTTGGACATTGATTGTGATGCTTATACTGTTTGGAATGCATCAAATTGGAGTTATTCCCTTTTTAGCAATAAATAACAACTTATGTTTGGCTCCCTTAGTTAAAGAATTCATGTGAAAGATGTCTGACCAATACTGCTTCCTCCATACTTTGGAAGCAGCATACATCCAACATATCTGGCATTACTGTTCAGGAAACCATTGCACATAATATATCTAATGATACTTTGCAATACTTTAAAACCCGAATGATGCAAAAAAAAAAAAAAAAAAAAAAAAAAAACTTGCGATCTTATTATATTGATAATGTATATTAATAACATCTTTCAGCAAGGCTTTTTGTTATGTAAGATAAAAACCCAGATCTCCCGAACTTTCTCAAACTGATAATGTTATAAAGACATATCAGGATGGACTTGACATAGTATCTGACAGCATATTCCATAAGACATGATTCAATGCTTGTTTAGGTCCATGTTAGACTGATTATCTTTATGTAGTACGGGAAAAAACTGCTATATATCATATTAAGTAAAATTTCTACATTTAGGTTTGCTCAGTAAATGAATTAATTGCTACCTAATTTTATTTACTTCTTCAATTCTGTCTTCTCACTGCTCATATCAAGTTTCATCACGGATTGATCAATTTTCTTAGGCGCTTGAATATTTCTATATTTAAAATATTTGCTATAAAAGATTTCTAGTATAATTACTTATATTATTTAAAGAATTAGCATATCCCCAGGTAGCCAAGCAATACATATATACCAGACACAGCCAAACTGCGGTTCGCAAGCTACTTGCGATCTGCAGCTTACCCATCTGAAATGAGACTTGTTTTGAATAAATATAGTTTAATTTTTTAATAATATTTAACTAATGGATAACTTTAAATATATAATGGAATTGGAAATAACAATCATGCAGTGCCCTGTTTCTTTATTAATCACTAATTTCTGATTTTATGTATGTAAAATTTGATAGCTTTCAAAGTGTCCATTTGTGAGAGTAAAAAATACATAAAATTACAAATACAGTCAAAAGCCTTTAATCCAGACTCGTCGGGACTTCGGCGATTCCAGATTATCGGTTTTTCCGGATTATAGATCATCAATTTAAATCTGGTAAGATGGCATGCAGAAATTGTAATTTATAAAATAAAGAGATTGTAATTAATAAATCTAAAGGGTATCAAAATTTACAAAAAAAAAGGTTAATATTTATTTGTTTACTTTATTAAACATTTCTTTCAACGCGCGCATGCGTAAAGCATACATTAGGCATAGTCGAAATTAGAAAACTGCAACCAGAAAACTATTTGATGTGTATTCGTGATATTTATAATGATGAATTATAATTAGAATAATTAAATCATATCAAAGACGGAGTACATCGAGATGAAATACTACATTTAGTAAGGAATTATACTCCGAATAAAATTAAAACATCATAAAGATAGTGCTGACAGATCAACTTCAGTTCATGCGCGCCACGACGTTTCCCCCCAACCCCAAAGAACAGCGTGAAATTGATAAACAGATTTCGGAATGGACAGAAAAACAAAGGATATGCATTTATCCATTTTTTGCAGCAATTCCACTTTTTGTTTGATGGACATCGAAACATGCTTTCGCTTTGTAGATCCTTTGGCAGCTCCAGAATCGGAAATTCTTTTTGACATAATCGAAAGTTCAAGCTTACTTTTATAAAATTGCACTAACAGTCTGCAAAAAATAATAAGATGATCCAATTAGAAGATTAAGGAACAACGCAATTTGCAACATTAACTGAAATAGATAATTTTAGCTTAGCTTATACCATCCGTTATACATTAAACGCGCATGCGTAAATGTATTTTGCGCATGCGCACACACATATTCGCGGCCGTAAAGGTCTTACGCGCATGCGTCGATGCGACGCATGCGCAGAAAGTTTGTAGCTTTGAGGTCCGGGCTATGGGTGTCCGAATTAACGACTTTTGACTGTATAATCTCTCTTTGTGATACAGCACTGCATTGAAGATTTTAGGTATTTTTCACTATGTTCCAAACCTTCATTAAAAGATATTTTCTCACTCCTAGTTCGTATACGTGTCAGTGTTGGAATTGTTTTCTTGCTGTGTTGATTTGAAACCAGAGCCATTAATTTCATCATCGGACATCTGACATGCTCGTGTTGACTCATCTGGAAACATTCATTCATTCAACAGCAATATCTTCTAGCAAAGCTGCTGCATTCTTTCTTTTGAATACAGACGCAATTCTCTTACTTTAACCTCTATTGCATTGATCCTCAAATCGGAAAATTCACTATCATCGCTCTCAGTTTCAGTAAAAAGAGAAGATGGTCTTATATTATGTTGCTTGGGAAACAGAATTCCATGATTCTGCTAATAAATATACGCAGTCTTTGATGATGAATTTTTTTTTTTTTTTTTTTTTTTTTTTTTTGTACAATCAGTAAATGAAATAAATTGATTCATCGATTTTTTGAAAGAATTTTTTTCCAAAACTCTGACAGTCAAAAGTCGTTAATTCAGGACACCCATAATCCTGGAATGATCTATAATCTGGACCTCAAACTACAAACTTTCTGCGCATGCGTCGTCTTTTACGCATGCACGTAAGACCTTTACAGCTGCACATATGCGTGTGTGCGTATGCACATAATACATTTATGCATGCGCGTTTAATGTATAACGGATGGTATAAGCTAAAATTATCTAATTATCTATTTCACTTAATGTTGCAGATTGCGTTGTTCCTTAATCTTCGAATTGGATCCGACTTATTATTTTTGCAGACTGTTAGAGCAATTTTATAAAGTAAGCTTGAACTTTTGATTATGTCAAATAGAATTTCTGATGCTGGAGCTCCCAAAGGATCTACAAAGCAAAAGTATATTTCGATGTCCATCAAAATAAAAAGTGGAATTGCTGCAAAAAATAGATAAAGGCATATCCTTTGTTTCTCTAACCATTCTGAAATCTGTTTATCAATTTCACGCTGCTCTGCAGCGGCGCGCAATGAATTGGAAGTTGATCTGTCAGCACCATCCTTATCTTCAGGGCAGATGTTTTTATTTTATTTGGCTTATAATTCCTTACTAAATGTAGTATTTCATCTCGATGTACTCCGTCTTTGATATGATTTAAATCAAATTCCTCGTCATTATAATTCGCTTCCGATAGTGAAGAGTGTGACACAGAGGTTATTGAAAACGAAAAAAATTTCGATTGACAAATTAGTCGGTATTCTCGACACAGCAATTATAGGACTTGAACAGTGGAACTTTGCAACTGAACAAGAAATTATGTCTGTTTATAGAATTAAAGAGAAAGTATTATCACATAAAACGAAGCAACTTAAATAACTTACATTGAAAGAAATGTTGAATAAAGTAAACAAATAAATATTAAGCTTTTTTTTGGTAAATTTTGATACCCCTTAAATCATAATTGTTCTTTATTTCATAAATTATGGTTTCATATTTTAAATTTTATAATTTCTGCATGCCATCTTACCAGATTTAAACTGATGATCTATAATCCGGAAAAATCGATAATCCGGAATCCGAAGTCCCGACAAGTCCGGATTAACGACTTTTGACTGTAATTAGATAATTTTAGCTTAGCTTATACCATCCATTATACATTAAATGCACATGCGTAACAGAAAGTTTGTAGCTTTGAGGTCCGGATTATAGATCATTCTGGATTATGGACGTCCGGATTAACGACTTTTGAATGTAATTCCATTTCCATTAATTACTATTCCGGTTATGTTACTTTTTGAACATGTAATAGTCATCGGAATACAATAATACGAAGTTAATCTAAAACACAATGCTAATACTTTTATTTAATTAATTAGTATTCTCCCTAATATTTTTTCTCTCATGTTAATTTTACTTCGGGCAATATCTGCTTACACTCATGTGCAATCCTATTGTTCGCAACAGTTGTGATCCATCTGGAAGATTTGCTATTCGTTGTATGCTACTACTTTTATTCAGTTCTTGAATGGTGCGAGTAACTGCTGAAGAAACATATTTTGCCTTTCAATCCATATAGAGCTCTTTTAATCTGTGGAAGAATTTTATGAGGATTTTATTTTGGGTGAAGTGAACCTTCAGCCTCTTACTTGGTTAGTAGACTTGTCTCAATTTTCTGCAGAACTCCTTCAAAATTAATTTCCTATTCCTAAGCAAGTCAGGCATTTTTATGCAATTGCTTCACAGATTTTGCAACCATTCACAATAATATTCTTAATGAATACCCACATGAAACTCTATCTTTTGTAATAATTCCTTAGTAATTCTAGGCAGAGATCATAATTTATTTCCCCAATG